CTGCAGTCCTTTAAAATCAAACGGGAAATAAAAGCCACGCGTCTCACTGCATCCGGGGGTGGCTGTCCCCGTCCTTCCCCGCAGGGCTGCGTTCCGAGTGGCTTTGAAAGACACTCACTGGATTTCACCACCTGGTGGGACTGGGCCTCCAAACAAATGAACTGCTCCCCCTGGGAAAGAATAGCAAACTATTTTTTGCTATCTGAACCACTGGTTGCAGTGCTAATACCAGGATTACGAAACCGCTGTGTGTGCTTGGGAGAAAGTGTGCATTTACACTGGGGCCGGCTGACCCGGATTTCTGGAGTGGAACAAGATACAAGATCTTCGCGCTCAACAAAAGCTGTGCGGTCTACAGCTCGCTGGCGGTGGCCACCCCACCAACCCGGAAACAATGAGGGGCCGAGCCACAGCACCCTGAGCACCCGGCGGCCCCGAACACCGACACCCACTTCCAGGGGCCGGGGCCGCGGAGGAATCACCGATTCCCGGGCTAGCCTGGGCGCGGACAGGGAGCCAGGTGTCTGTCACCAGGGTAACGTCGCTGGGGGGACCTGGGGGAGCCAGAACGGCGCCCAGGCCACCGGCCCTCAGCCCCGCCCAGAGCTGTGCTGGCCAAGGCCACGCTGCCTGGCTGGGCACAATCCCCTCCCCGGCCCACAGGGGGCGGCCGAGAGCCCACGTCTGGAGCAGCTGGCACAGTTTGGCGGCCGGGGTGGGGGCAGAGAACCCCGGGGAGCTGTGTCCTGGTCACTGACTGCTGCTGCGACCACAGAGGCAGAGGCAGACAGCAGGGACCTTTGTGCTGTGAAAAGGGACGCATAGTAGACGCTAAATAAAATCTAACTGCTGTTGACATCAGCTCTGTTCGAATAATAAAAAAACACAATTTGAGTAGATGCGCATACCCAGGTCTCTGCAAAGGGGTTGAGCCCGGTGTGGTGCCGCACACACCTGTAATTCCAGTACTCGGGAGGCTGAGCCGGGGGATCGCCAAGTTCGAGGCCAGCTTGGCCTCACTCCCAGGAATTCTCCGTGGACCTTCCTGCTCCCTTGGTGCCTCACGTGATGTTAACTCAGCTCCTTCCAACCAGCAACACAGCGTTGGTGCGGAGGCCTGAACCAGACATGCCTGCTTTCCTGTCACCCGAAGAGCGCTAGTCCTAATTATAGCATCAGACCCACAGGCATATTTATCTGCTCAGCGCTGGCCCCGGCCTGTAATTTAGATTCAGTGCGTTCTGCCATGGAAAGTGGGTGACAGGATCACAGTGTGCACTGGGGCTGCCTCTGAGCAGGCAGGTGCTCGAGGAATTCCGGTGTCCGTCACATCTGTAACTAGGTCCCCAGTGGCACAGACGGTGCACGGCCAGGATTGAGGACACACAGGAAATGTCCCATGGGACAGGAAGCAGGCTCTTCCACTGGAGCGTGCGGCATCAGAAAGCATGGAAGGGTAGGAGCCAGGAGTCCCCAGGGATGGCCGTCACCCTGCCTGATGGCTGGTGACCCCAGACAGGCCCTTCCCTGCCTGTCCTCACCTGCTCACCAAATTGCAGGTGCACAATAAATGTACGTAGTCTAGGCTGCCCTGAAACTCGCAGAGATCCTCCTGACTCAGCCTCTCAAGTGCTGGGATTACAGGCAGGAGCCACCACGCCTGGCTCAAAGTCTGTTTTCATTTGATGCTAATCTGGAAATAGCCAGGCCCCCAGCTTCTGGGGCCTCCTGGGGCTGGCCACTCTCCCTCTCACCTCTGTTCCCTCATGAGCATGAGCAGGGACCCTGGAGCTGGCTGGTGCTGGGGGAAATGACCAAGCCGCAGGACCTGTCCTTGGGGCCAGGGATACAGAGGTGACAGGAGAAGGATGCTTCTCCTCCCTTTTCCTCTGAACTCCTGTTCCTTGCAGCCACGGAAGGAGACAGATATGGAGAGGCCAGAGCTGAGTGCTGAGAGGAGATCGGAAAGCAAGAGCTTTTGCAGTGGGCCAGTGGCAAGAGGCACTCACAGGGTCAGTTGCCATGGCACCCCCTGGTCCCTAGGCTAGGACATCAGAGCAGGGGCTCCAGCATGTTCCAGCATGTTCCAGTGTGTTCCTGAATGTTCCAGAATATTTCTGAATGTTCCAGAAACTACCCCTGGGCAGGCATCTCAATTCAATTTAGGAGCTGACTGGGAATGCCATAACCATCCCTGTTAGATGATCTTCCCAATCTGCAACCTTGCCCTGGTCCACTCCTAGTTATTGTCCATTATCTATGCATTTCTCCACGGGAGAGGTATTTAGTGGGCCTCTTCTGCATCCCAGCTCATGCTAGGCACCAAGGGCATGTGGGAATTCAGCCCCCTGCCCTTGAGTAGCTCAGACTCAGCTGGGGAGAAAGACAAACAGGCTAATGTCCACGGCACTGAGTGGCAGATGCAAGAGAGGAAGCCTCAAGCTGCAGCAGGAGGTCAGGGAGGCAAGACTCAAACCTGCACATGGCCAGGAAGATCTTTCAGAGACAGGGAAGGAGATGGTGGCTTTGGGAAGAGGATGTTGCAGTCACATCTGGCATCTTGGGAATGATAAGCAGCTCACCATGCTGGAACAGCGGGAAGATGGGCTGCTGTTTCAGTTCATGTTCTGCCTCTGTAATGGTGAACCACAGCCTGGTTGGTTCATGAACAAGAGACGTTTATGTGGTTCGTGATTCTGGAGGTGGTAGAGTCCAGGATCAAGGACTCTTTTGTTGCCAATGACTTGGTGGGAGGTAGCTCCCTTCCTCCATGATGCTCCTGCCCTGGAGCAGCTGACCATGGACTGTACCCTCTGAAACTGTGAGCCAGACCCACCCTCTCCTCTAAGCTGTGGGTGTCAGATGTCACCTCCCAGCCATGGGAAAGCTGACAGACTCCGTGACCTAATCACCCACTGATGCCCCACCTCTCAGCCCACTGGCCCTGGGGTTGAGTTTCCAATGCGTGAACTTTGGTAAGAGGCCTTCAGGGTGGCTCAGCTCTGGGTAGAAGTGCTGGGGATGGTGCCTGTCCTCAGGTCATGGCCCACATGGAGACACGGGTCACAGGCAGGCCCTCCAGATCCCCATGAGGCAGCCCTGAGTCCTTGCTGGCCCAAAGCCACCATCACGAGCCCCAGGAGCTCCTGGGGCACCAGGAGCTGCTCTGTCACCTTGCATGGCTTCCTGTCCCTGCTTACACCCCATGCCCAAGCAGCTGTCCCAGAAGAGCAGAGGGAACATCCTGTCCGATTCAAGCTGCAGGCGGTCAGCTCAGATATTCACTGAAATGTCCTTGTGTCCTTGTCTCTGCTTTGCCAGGACCTTGCAGTACAGTGGTGTCCACCTCCTGGGCCCCTTGGAAGGCTGAGGAAGAACCCAGGAGCATCTTAGGGAAGGACAGGCGGCTTTCCTAACTTAGAAGTCAGGGGGAATCTGGTAGCTTCCTGCACTCACAACTCCACCATCATAGAATCACCTTCACTCCCAGCACTTGGGAGGCTGAGGCAGGAGGATCACTGGACAGGACAGCCTAGGCTACATAGTGAGTTCAAGGCCAGCCTAGACTACATAGCGAGACCCTGTCTCAAAAAAAGGGTTGTCAAATGGTTTTGTTTTTGTTTTTTTAGGGCAGCCTTATGCTGTTTACGAGAGCACATACTTAAAAACATACGGACTCATATTTAAAATAAACGGATGGAGAACAACATAGCAGCAAATACTTCCCAAGAGAAAACTAGAACAGCTATAGTGATCAGGGGAAACCTGTGAGCTTTATAGGATGGCAAACTTACTTCCCAAGGGTGGAAGGCCCATGAGGAAGGTGTGAGAGTCTCGAACTGGGTACCTCAAACAACACAGCCCCCAAATAGATAAAGCAGCCTGGTGGAGAGCAAACTGGGGCCTGCGGGTGGGTCAGGGTCACCCTGGGTAAGATCTGGGGCTCCTGTGGGGGCTTCAAAAGCCAAAGGCACCCAGGAGTGGGGATGCATGCCTGCAATTCCAGCACTAGGGAGGCTGAGGCAGGAGGATCAATGCGAGTTTAAGGCCAGCCTGGGCTACATAGCGAGGAACCTGTCTCAAAAAAGGGAAGGGAAGGGAGGGGAGGAGAGCAGAGGGGAGAGGGGACGAAGGAAGGCAGGCAAAGCAAAGCAGCCTGTCCTGTCCCCGCCCAACCCACGCCCAAGGGCTGCTGTCCAGCCCGGTCCCCAACACCTCCCTCACCTGTGGGAAAACATGGCTGGCGTCACCCACCTGGATCCACGTCCTGGTGGCGCCCTGGGAGCCCTTGTCTGCCCGGGCCACTGTCTCCTCTTGGATCGGAGATGTCACAGCGACCCTTGTGGGATGGAAAGCTACAGGCTGCCCTCTGCTGGCAGAGACGTGAACTGCAGTCACTGGGGACAGCTTTTCCAGAGCGGCTCCATCTGCACTAAGAGTAAATAGGATACAGGAGGAAGGCGTGGTGGCGCACGCCTGTCATCACAGCACTCTGGAGGCTGAAGCAGGAGGATCAGTGCGAGTCTGAGGCCAGCCTGGGCTACATAGGCAGGTCAAGACCATCCTGGACCACACAGCACAACTCATAATAGCTAAGTCTCGGAAGCAGCCTGTTTGTCCATCGACAGACGAATGAATGTGGTTTGTACACGCAATGCAGCACTGCTCTACCATAAATAAGGATAAACTTGAGTCATCTGTAGGAAAATGGGTGCACTGAGACCATTATGTTAACTGAAGTAAATCAGACACGCAAGCTTTAATATCACACGGTTTCTCTTATGTGAGAAACACAGAGTATAAATAAAGAGCAAAATAAGAGAGATGATAGAACACAGGGAGACAGCTCTTTGCAAAAGGGAAGGGGACCAAGAAACGCAGGGGAGGGAAGGGAGGGAAAGAAGTTGAGAGGTGCTGTCTGCACCCCAATTCCCCAAACCACGCAGCCCGCCCGCCCTGCCCCGCGTGGCCGCCAGGGGCAGCACTGCGCTCGGCGGCTCTTGCGTTGCCAGGGCGACAGTCAACACCACAGGCCCCACTGCAGCTGGGTGGCCCGGCGGAGCTCGGGGCCAGGGAATCCCACAGACCCGCAGCATGGGGAGCCGCCCCATTCCTGGGCTCCCGCGAACCACACCCACCGCGTCCCGACTGCGCCCCGCTAGGCCGCCTGCCTCAATTTCCCCGACGGTGCAGGGTGTTGTCGGGGGGCGCCAGGCGCCGGGGTCCCCCCGGGCGGCCTTGGGCGCGCAAGGAGACGAACTATGGAAAGAGCTCGTGGAGGCGGAGGGGCGCGGGCGGCGGCGATGGTGAGTGCCCCCTCCAAATGTAGCTCAGGGGTTCCGGCACCTGCCGCGCAAGCGCAAGGTCCCGAGCTCCATCCCTGGTATCAAAACCAAACAAACAAACAAACAAACCACTGCCTGGCCTGGGGTCTAAAGGGACCCCGCGGTGGGAGATCCAGGGATAGGGCGCATGGGCCGGGGGGACCTGTGTTATATTTTTGAGACATTACCCAGGCTGGGCTCCAACTTGCAGCCCTCCTGCCTCAGCCTCCCAGAGAGCCGGGATGAGAGGCACAGGGCACTCTGCGGCTAAAAAATAAGGAAATTCCAATAGAAATTAAACCACCAGCGAAGGCTGGTCCCCTCCCGCTCTGCCCTCCTCCCGGGGTCCTGCGGAAGTTATGAAGGCCTGGGGCCTCTCCTCATGAAGTCTCCTGTGGAGCAGGGAGACGGGTGTGTGTGTGTGTGTGAGGACTGAGGCACGGGTTTTCCTGGCGGCAGGGTCACCACCTGGAGCCGGCAAGGTCACCAAAACGTCCCCACTTCAGAGGATGCCCGTGGGTGTTCGGTGCTCATTTTGCTTACGAATTGTTCCAGCTCTTCCGCTGTGCGATGCACTGTGACCAGGACTCACTGCACACAGCGCAAGTCAGTCTTAAAATGTCTCAGAGACTTGAGTGTGGGGACGCACCCTGTGATCCTGGCACTCTGGGAGGTGGAGGCAGGAGGATCTGTCCAAGCTCAGCCTGGGCAACTCATGGAGATCTTGGGTTCAATCCCCAGGACAGAAAAAGGAAAAAGGAAAAAAAGAAAAAAGGGTGAGACTTCACATGGCCAATGTCCTTTTCTCTTCCAGGACTGAGAACTGGGGCTTCCTGAAAGACTACGACCCCATGGTAAAGCAGACGCGCTGTCTTCAGCTCCAATTTATTTGCTTCTTTCCTTCCCTCCACAGCCATTTGCTGAGCATCTACTCTGTGCTCCACACTGGGTTGATGGCTAAATAGTTTTGTTTTGAGCAATTCGGGGCCTGGAGGGAAAGAAAATATTTACACAGAACACTGAGAAAAATTTCCACCGTCTGTTGACTGTATTAAGACGGGCAGCTAAGAGTGGTCGGCACCTGGTTCCGAACGTTGTTCCCGGAAGTTGTGTGCGCGCGGTGAGCTGCCAAGCCCCAAAGGAAAACCAGTGTGGGTAAAAATACAATGGAAACACACTCCCTGCTTCTGGTAGAAGCCTCTCCCATCCGTAGCCACCCTAGCTTCCCCACTTGGTGTGGTGGCACCTGCCTGTGATCCCAGCACTCCGGAGGCTGAGGCAGGAGGATCGCCATGAGTTCACGGACAGCCTGGGGTGCATAGCGACACTCTGTCTCAAAAACCCCCAACAAAACAGGGCCCAGGATTTAGCTCGGTGGTTCTGGCGCCTGCCTGGAAAGCGCAAGATCCCGAGTTCGATCCCCGGTACCAAACAAAAACAAAACCCAAAAGCACAAAGCCAGAGATGTCTGCTCTGGGCCACGTCTCAAAGGCGTGTGGGGTCCTCCTTTCCCCACGAGGCAGTGACCCAGCTGTCCCCTCTCTCAGGGCAACAGGAAGCAGCCCAAGCAGCTGCCGGAGCAGGTGCCTTCCCTCTCGGACACCGTGCCCCACTCCAGCAGCCGGGTGGTGGGCAGCAGGCTGGACACGCCGCTGGGCAGAGACCTGGTCCACATGGACTTCACATTCGTGGAAGGGACACGCAGGAAGAGGCCGGGGACCGGGCTGCACCCAGCGTAGGATGGGGTGCCACCTCGGCAGGTGGGTGCAGGGGCTCGGAACACCTGTCCAAAGTCGGACGTGGCGGGGCACGCCTGTGATTCCAGCACTTGGGAGGCTGAGGCAGGAGGATCGTGTGATTCCAGCACTTGGGAGGCTGAGGCAGGAGGATCTCCTGAGTTCAAGGCCAGCCTGGGGTGCATAGTGAAAAACAAAACGAAGCAACAAAAGCCCACCCCAAACAGAGCAGCCTCTTCCCTCCTGCCTCCATTCCCTCCAAAATCCTTCTGAGATAGGAAAACGGCTGGCTGCAGTGGCTGTTTGCTTGGACCCCGGCCTGGGTTTTGTTTGTTTGTATTTGGTACCGGGGATCGAACTCTGGTCTTTGCGCTTGCGCAGCAGGCGGCGAAACCACTGAGCTAAATCCCCGGCCCTGGCCTGGGTTTGATTCCACCTCACAGCGAGCCTTCAGCGCCACGGTCCCGCACGCACCACCTCAGCTCACCCTCTCGGGCTGCGTTTCTGTGCCCCGTGGGCGAGGAGACCAGAGAAGTCAAGTCATCTCGGAAGTCACACAGTTGGCTGCGGTGGAGCTGGGGTTCGAACTCGAGTTCGGCTCCAGGAACCCCAGGACTGAGCAGAGGCCGAACCTGAGGCAGCTGAGCGCCAGTGACTGTCAGCCGAGCTGCAGATGGCTGTAGGCATTTTTGCTTAAAAACCCTCTCTCTCTCTCCGGCCCTTTATGGAGACGGGTTCTCTAAGTCACTAAGTTGGCCAGCCTGTGCTGGAGCTTGGGATCCTCCTGCCTCAGCCTCCCAGAGTGCGGGGATGACGGGCTTGCGCCACCACGCGGGGCCGGGGGTGGGTGGGTTCTGCCCCAAGGTTCCTCGGTCCCCAGCGATGCCAGTGACCTCGCCACGCCATTCCGGCTCGCGGGGCCCTGTCTGCGGCTGGGCAGACCGGGCTGCAGCTGCGCGCTGGGAGGGGACCCGGCCTGCGCGTTCTGGCCACGCGGGGGTGGCTTGGGTGGCCGGAGACTCCCCGCGACCTCCTCCAACAGGAGGTCTCTGCCCTCACCTTCCCCACCCAGCCGGAGCCGGGGATGGAGGCCCAGGACCGGCGGACTCGGGCCGAGGGGGCGGGGCCAAACCGGGTGCGGGGACGCCGCTAGCAGTACCGCTCCACACCGGGGATGCTCAAACGTGTCCCGGTAAAGTTACAAACAATAAATAAAAAGGCTGAGGATGCGCCTCAGTGCAAAGGCTCAATCCGTAGTCTCCTCCCCCCCCAAAATCCCAACAGGACAGTTGGTCCCTCGGCGAAGGGTGCGAGTCGCCCTCTGACCGCCCTGCCGGCGCCTCGGCGGGATCCAAACTGGCTGGGTCGGAAAGTGACTCAGCCACAGGCGCAACTGGGCGGGGCGGGGAGGGGCGGGGCCGCCGGGAGCGGACAGGGCGGGGTGAAGGTAGGCGGAGCCAGCCTGGGGGCGGGGCGGATCTGAGGCTGGCGAATAGGGTGGGCAAAGCTAACACGAGAGGCGGACGGACGGGGCTGGGAGCGGAGATATGGGCGGGGTCAGAGGCGGGTCCGGGGGGAAGGGGCAGGACCTAGTCAGGGGCGGGACAGAGCTAAGGCAGGCGAATAGGGAGAACGAGGCGAGCGCGTGGGCGGGGAGAACCCGGATGGGGCGGGGAAGTGGGCGGGGCCGCGGCGGGCAGGCGGGAAGGCGGAAGGAGCCTTCTGGGCACAGCGACACATCCCGCGGTGGCCGCACTTGGCCCGCTCACCATGGAGGCCGCGGTGCTGTGGTTCTGCAACTGGAGCACGCTGGCTGTGTGCGCCGCGCTCAAGCTGCCGCAGATCCGCGCCCAGCTGGCGGCGCGCAGCTCGCGGGGGCTCAGCCTCCCGAGCTTGCTGCTCGAACTGGCGGGGTAAGCGCCCCGGCGGCGGGGGGATCAGGGTCACCCCGGGGCGGGGCGGCCGCGGGAGCTGGACTGGGGGCGCTTCCGAGCCGCGCCCAGCGCGTGCATTGCTCCGTGAAGTCCACCTGACAGACGGGAAAACTGAGGCCGGGCGGAGTCCAGACTCGGCCCTAGTGGTCACAGTTTTTTCTTTGACAGTTGGCTCGGTTCGAATTTGCGCTGTGGGACCGCTGGTGTACGCCACCTCGCCATGCCATTTGCATCTCGAGCCCCTCCTTGTCCCCAAACCTCTTTTCTGGCCTCGATTCTCACCAGGGGAGAGGTTGGACTCTAGTTGCGGTTGGGGACTCGGACAGTGGAGAGATCTTGGGAGAGGAGGGGGGGTGAGAAGACTGTATGTGCGGGCTGCTCCGCCGGAAACCGGCCCGGGAGCCCCGACTCGGGACCTCTGGACCTGGGCGTAGCCGGGTGTGGTGGCGCAGACCTGACATCCCAGCACTGGGAGGCTGAAGCAGGGGGATGCCAAGTTTGAGCCTAGCCTGGGCAATTTAGCAACTTAACGAGACCCAGTCACACAAAATTAGGAAGGGCTGGGCACGGAGCTCAGCGCAGAGGCCCGGGTAGGAGTGGAAGTGGCCGCAAGGACGGGCCGGGCCGGCCGGGGCAGGCTCCGAGGGTGTGGGGAGCCGGGAGTGGCTTTGGCGGGGCCCTGACTGGACTGGGAGCCTGCGGGCTGCAGGGCGACGGGGCCGCGCTCCGCGCTCCTCGCTGGGTTAGGGCCGGCTGCTCTGTCCCGCTCTCCCCACGGCCGGGCAGGGACAGAGTGAGGGCTTTCTCGGAGCCCTGCCACCCGCGCCCTTAACCCCCAGCCCTGGGGGTGAGCGACCGGGACCCAGGACGGGCTGCCTGCTGCGGGCTCCTCCCTGGATCTGAGCGGTCACCCTGAAAGCCGCGTTTGCAGGCTGGGTCGCCGGCCGCACGGTCCCAGGCCTAACAACTCAGGAGGCACCCGGGACCTAGGACTATCAACCTACATCTACAGCCGTTAAAAAAAATTATTACATGTCTGTAGGACGAAATGATTACATTCAGTGCATTTCCATATTTTAATTTTTATTTTTGAGACAAGGTCTCACTAAATTGCCCACGGCGGGCTCAAATTTGCAATCCACCTGCCTCAGCCTCCCAGAGTGCTGGGATGACAGGTGTGCGCCACCTGCCTAGCAAATGACCATCTTGAGACCGGAGAAACCATGGGTTTTACACATAGGGCGCCCAGCAGCTGGCAGACGCCCCCCAGTGGAGCAGACCGCCAAAGTGACATTTCCTCTGATTTGTTCCAAGTCTTCCTCCTGGACCCTGGGCTCCAGGACTGGTGGAGGTGCCAGCCTTGGGGCAGGCTGGCTGTAGGCGAGCTGTAATCATGTGCCATTCCTGTCCCCAGGTTCCTGGTCTTCCTCCGCTACCAGTGTTACTATGGGAACCCAGTGATCACCTACCTGGAGTACCCCATCCTCATTGCACAAGGTAGCTGCCCTTGCACACCCATTGCACCCCATATCCCTGGCTGCTCCCTGGGGCTTCCCTTCATCCTCTCACTGGAGCCTTTCTTCCAGATGTCATCCTCCTACTCTGCATCTTTCATTTTAACGGGGATGTAAAACAGGCTGTACCGTACCTGGCTGTGTATCCTTTTAACATCTGAGAACTGGAAATGGGATTGGCTGGCCTGGGACGGGTGGCTTAGTGGTGGAGCTAATGGGTCAGGCCTGGGTTCCATCCCCAGCACAGGAAAAAAAAAAGCCAGGTTTGGTGGCACACACCTGTAATCCTAGCACTAGGGAGGCTGAGGCAGGAGGATCGCTGTGAGTTCTCTGCTGATCTGTCACCCTCGTGGGCGAGGTGTCTGCGGAAGGGGGCAGGTGGCAGTGGCCTGTGCTCCACAGCTGTGCTCCTTAGCCCGTGTGAGATGCCTGTTGTCTTGGTTCATCCTCGGCCTGCACAAGGGGGCCGTCGACCTGGCCATGGTGAGTGACAAGCCCCTCGAGTGCTCTCCCATCCTTCTTCGACCCTGTGGCCTTCTCCGCCCAGGCCACCCTGCTCATCCACTGACAACAGTTCTGGGGACTGAGCCCAGGGTCTTCACACTGAGCCATGTCCCCAGCCCTTTTTCATGTCATTTTGAGACAGGGTCTCACTAAGTCGCCCAGGCTGGCCTTGAGCTTGTGTCCTCCTGCCTCAGCCTCCCAGAGAGCTGGAATTACTTTTTTTTTGGTACTGGGGATCGAACTCAGGGCCTTGCACTTGCTAGGCAGGTAGCGGCACCACTGAGGTAAATCCCTGGCCCTGGAATTACTGACTTCTTAAACTTCGAGTGTCCCACTGCCCACAGCACTTTTCTGGCCAGCATCATGCAGCCAGCACTGAACCTCTGACCTGTGCTCGCTTCTCTCCCAACACACCTGCTCCTGCAGCGTTCCCAGCCTGATGAAGCCCACTCCCCTTAGCTTCCCAGGCGGCAAAAGGGGCTGCCCTGGCTTGGCACCACGTGACCCTGTCTGTGGGCCTCCGGCCTGCCCGGCCCTGTCTGCCGGGTCCCCTGGAGCTGCAGGTGTGGGGCGGACGTGCAGCTGTACGCAGCTCCTGCTTAGCTGGTGGCCTGGCCCTGGGGGCATGGGACTGGGGCCCTGTGCCAACAGCTCTGAGTTCCTGGGCGTCAGTTCAGGCAGCTGGATTCCCCCAGATTTGGGAACCCAGGCTGTGGGGACAGAGCTGTGGGTGGCTGAGACTTTGCAGCCTCAGGGACTCCTCCTGCTGCCCCGTGGGATTCATGGGTTCAATGGAAACATCTCAAGTGACATCTTATCCCCCACCACACACAGGTTTCAATCTTGTGCAAGCCAGTGAGGACCTGGCCTGAAAGTGTGGCTCAATAAAGCGCTGTGAACAACCAGGCCCGGTGGTGCACGCCTGTCATCCCAGCACTCAGAAGGCTGAGGCAGGAGAAGCGCCAGTCTGAGGCCAGCCTGGGCTCCACAGGCGAGACCCTGTCTCTAAAAGACAAAACCACACAGCACTGTGGCTCTGCTGCTCTTCGACTTTTCTAACAAATGGGCTGTGGCTTTTTCATCTGCCCACAGAACCTGTGTACACTGGTCAGCGCGGCCAGCAAGCTCGTGCAGCTCCAGTACCTGTGGAAGACACGGGACTCGGGCACCGCCAGTGCACTCACCTGGGGCCTCTCCGCCTACACCAGTGCAGGTGAGGACACCTGTGCCTCCCCAGAAGGGGAGCCTGCTGTCTAAGCATGTCCGTCCCTTGGGCTTTAGCGTGCTGCAAGTAGCTATTTGGCTAGAGCCTGCTAACTAGGATTGTCTGTGTTTACAAGGTGGGGTGGTGGCGCAGCCGTCATCCAGCTCTTGGGAGGCTGAGGCAGGAGGATCACCACGAGCTCAAGGCCAGCCTGGACTGTAAAGCGAGACCTTTTCTCAAAAAACAAACAAAAACACAGTTTTACATCAGTTGAAGGCTTTCATGAGGCTACCAGCCTGTGGGCAATTGAGATTTTACGGCTGCTGAGGCTGGGGTGTGGGTCTTTAGGTGGCTGCGAACTACTGGACCGCTTCATGTTCTGAGCCGCACAGCCCTTAGGAACTGTTGGCATAGTGCAGTGTGCTCAGTAAGATCAGCTAAACACCGACATGTCTCCGAAGCAAGTTACTTATGCTGCCCATCTTCTTTTTCAGCAAGAGTAATAACAACTTCCATGACCACCAATGACCTGACAGGTTAGTGGTACTTTCCCTTCCCCTTTCTGCTGGGCATGGTGCTGTCTCGGCCTCCTTGGAGTGGAAACTGTCTTAGGCTCTAATAGGCTGACTCAGTTGGTTTAGGTTGTAGCTTAGAGGACAGAAATGGCCTGGTCTGCACCGTCACCAAGTGTGAGGCTCTGCTCTTGCAGGATCGGGGATAAGGGTATGCACGAGTGGATTTCCACCATTTGTTTCAGCAGTGAACATGGTGACCTGACACTTGAAGTGATCCTCCTGTCTCAGCCTCCCAAGTGCTGGGATCACAGGCGTGTGCAATTGCACCTGGTTGAACCTTTTCAACTCTCACATGGAGAACACTGTAGGAGTCCTTGGAAGGTGATTGGCACACAGACGGCCCAGTGTGTCTGCCTGATTCAGTGAAGATTAGGAACTGTCCCCTGCACGCAGACCCCTGCAGGAAGCTGTTTGCTCCAAGAAATACAGAAAGGCAGAGACATACCTGCTAGTCTGTTCCCAGAGACTTTCTTGGGCCCAAATACTGTATTTCTACTGGCTCTAATTATAGGATTAAAATCGGCCTGATCGGAAGCATAAAACTTTGCTCTTGTGGAGAACAGGAGACACCCCAGGTCTGTTTCTCCGCTGACCTGAAGAATTCTCAGCAGGGCACGGAGTCAGACCACCAAACCCACAGGAAAACTCAGGCGACAAAAGTGTTCCTGTTGTGGTTTGTGCCTCCTCTGTGACTGCTGCTCCTAAAAATGCCCAGTGTGTATTAGGATGAGCTTTTAAAACAGGGCAGCTGAGGTGTTAGGTAGCTCGGGCCTCATAATCCTTATTTGCCTTGACTCTGAGCCTGAAGCGGAAGGGGAGGTACTGTTACAGTGATCTTTTTCACAGACCTTCATGGTCCCTGGGTTATGAAATCGGCTGCTCCTCAGCTTTACCATAATGGGCTTACACTGCCTGTGTGGCACCTGCATCGAGAGTGACTGCACACAGGAACTGAGGGCGTGGGGAGGCCTGGGCAGGCCCAGCCTGCTGTAACAGCTTCGGAGGAGGCGCGTCCTTCGGGAGGTCAGCGAGTGCCCGGCGGACAAGGGGCAGGAAGATCCTTTCTCAAGGAGGCTGATCTACTCCTCAGTGCTGCTCAGGGATTGGAGTCAAGGCCTCACTTAGGCTTGTGTTAAAAGCAGGCAGAGAGAGCCTGGGATTTAGCTCAGTGGTTCCGGTGCCTGCCTCGAAAGCGCAAGGTCCCGAGTTCGATCCCCAGTACCAAACAAAAAAGCAGGAAGAAATTTCCCCTAGAATGTGAAAAGGTGGTAATGGCCACACTGACTTTCTTCTCGGTCTGTTGCAGTTCTCACCCGTTTTGTGATCATGTTGGCCTTGAATATCTGGGTGACAGCGACAGTGCTGCGCTACCGGAAGCTGGCCAAGGCTGAGTGACAGCCTGGGGACGGACTTGGAGTGGCTGAGCAGAGCAGTACACGCAGCTTTGTGGAGGGTGCTCAGACCTTTAGTCAGTTACTCCAGAAATGCCAAGCCAGAGGGTTTTGGGACTCGCAGGAGCCCCTTAAACAGGCATCTAAATGCCAATGTCTGTCCCCACCTCCCCTGCCTGGGGTCACACGGGGTCAGATGCCCAGTTTTCGAACTCGCGGTGCCCTCAGACCCTCCCTGAGCTTGCTGCCCTCGCTCCTGCGCTGCCTGCATCCTCCTGCTCCAGGGTCTTCTGAGAGAGTCCTCACGATACTGACGCCGTGTGACGTGGACATGGAGCCGTGTGGGGAGAAGTCCTGGGGCCCGAGCTGCACACCACGTGGCCTTGACTTCACGTGAGCCTTGAAGGGCTTCTCTTGAGTAACTGCTGTTAACCACTGCTCTTCTCTGATTATTTTGTTAGGAAATTTTGTTTTCATAAAAAATGCCTCCCGCAAGGAGTTAATAACAAAGGTGCTGTTAGAAGCAAGCGCTGCATAGGTGAGCAGATCCCAACCAACTCAGTGAGGTGCAGTGCGGCGTCTGTAGAAGGGCGTCACCCACATGTGGGAGTCACCAGGATGTGGTACAGAACACCGGTTTCAGCTAGTGAAAATATATGGATTTTACTCTCATCATATCTTATTCTAAATATGATCTTAAGATTATTGTACACTGTGTTAGCCCCTAAAACATTATAAATTTAACATTTAAGAACTCACTTTTTTTCAAAGTGAATTATTCTATTGTATACAGGAAGTAAACCACATTAGAAACATGTTTGGTTTCCCATGTAAACTTTCATATTCTGTCTTTTTTGATTTTTGGTACCAGGGATCGAACTCGGGACCTTGTGCTCACAAGGCAGACTGCGAAACCACTGAGCTAAATCCCTAGCCCACACTTTCATATTTTGAATTCTGCTGAGTCTTGAGGCTATCAATTATTTTAATGTGACTTATTTTAAATTATGTAAGGTATATTTTTCAATAAACTGGTTCTTTTGGTACTGCTTGGGACAAACAGGAAGAAAAATGCAGTATCTAAAAAGAAATTACTCATTTTATGTAGATATTTCAATCACAGTTGTCATTTACAAAAATCCAAGTTAATTTTTTTTCTCATAAACACTTATAATATGACCATTAGCATAGATTAGGACTTTTATCCTAACAAATATTTTACAGAGCTACACTGTATCAGTTTCTGTGAGAAGTGGGAGGGGACGGACTCTGCGACTCTGGGCATCTTGCATGCCCTGCCGTCTGCTCCTTCCCCAGCCTGCTGTGTGACACAATCAACTGTGACAGAGGCCTTGTGGCCCCGACTGCACACCCTGTCCAGGACTGGAGCAAGTCAGACTCCTAGAAAAGGACCCAGAAGTGTGCCCCAGGAACTGGCCACCCTGCCTCCCGCCATCATCACTGACTCCAGGGACAGTTTTAGGTCTGACCTGTAGGTGCCCAGGTAGACACAGGCTCCTGGCTGAAACTCCACTTCACCATCTGCATGTACACACAACAGGACAGGCAATCGGAAGCCTGAGCCTTACGCACAAGACTATAGCCCATCTTTCTTGTTTTGATTTTTTGAGACAGGGTATTGCAATACAGTCCAGGCTGGCCTCAAACTTGGCAGTCCTCCTGCCTCAGCCACCTGAGTGCTGGGATCACAGGCCTGCGCCACCATGCCTTCCCATCTTTTCTTTCAGGGAAGACAAAGTTTTTGGCGAACTTGTGAAAGCTGCAGAATTCTAGGACTATTTTATAGGAAAAGTATAAAAATATTTACATCTTAATTTCTTTTATTTAACTTTTTTTTTTATAAAAAGCAGGCATAAAATACAATTACATTACTACAAAGATGCAACAAAATTTTAAAAAAAGAAAAAATCCTGTAGGATGACCTGTTCAGGGGACACTGATCAAATACTAATGATGATCTAAACCATGCAGTTTGTATTTTACACAATTTGAAACAAAAGTCACAGTAGGGTCAGGATCATAGCCAGGCCCTGGGCATGGCACCAGTACTGTCACACAGTGCCTCTTTCAAAGTGCTTTGGATTGAGTCGGATCGGAGGGGCACAGTGCCAGCAGGACTAGGGACACCTGCGTCCCTCCAGGCAGCAGCGCCTGCGCCGACCAGGACTCCCAGAGCGCCCTGCTCTCTCCTCGGGTGCAGACAGGGCACATGACGGACTTCTGGAGGTTTCCAGAGCGCTGAGCTCTCGCTTCCACCCTCTGAGCCCTCTCAGGGAGGTTAGGGGAGCAGCATGACTCCTTCAGCTGTAGTTTGGCAAGAGGAGCATTTCTGCTTAGGGTCTAGAGCTAAGCAGACACCAAGGTGGTCCTTCAGGGCCAGGTTCTCGGGAACAGCACAGGTTCTAGGAGCACTAACCTTAAATTCTTGGTCAACAGGACACTGATCCATTAGAGCGCTTTAAACTTTGAGATAAATTTTATTTTCTTAAAAAACATCTTGCTTCTAGATAGCATGTTTTAAAAAATACTTTAAAATTCATTATACATTAACTTTCAACAGTTAATACCAGCACTAGTTTTCCTTCTCCTTCTGTCTTGCTATCCCCACAAAACAAAAGTAAAAATCCAACTGAGAAAACCCCAGTATCCACTATTTCTGAGTTCCAATAGGAGGTATTCACGGCTCTCGGAGAATCAGGTGTGGGAATACAAACACTGGTCTTATAAACATCTATCCTGGAAGTCTCGGGGCCCTAAGGAAGAGAAGTGGCGCGAAGTCGGGGTGCTCCACACTTGTGGTGCGGGAGGCGGGGTGGCAGCAGCGGGTGCTCACTCCCAGATCCTGGATGATCCCAGATCCCGTCAGTCAGACATGCACCGTCTCGTTCCCTGTCAGCCCCTGGAGACTGTCTGCACCCCTCAGAGCGTTCTTCCCCTCACCCTTCACATCAGTTTTCCCTGCACAGTTGTATCACACCATGATTCTCCTTATATATATATAGCATTCAAAATTTAAACTTTTGCCTGTTTTACTCAAATACTTCAATTACTCATGTGTAAACTTGAAATTATTTCACCTTAATAAAGTTTATTAAAAATATATATATATATATATATATATACTCTCCAATTCAGAATAATAGGATAGAACCTCCCATAGTGTAACAAAATCTTTATATAAAATATTAATTCAGTCTCCTTTTAAACAACTCTAATGAGTGGAAATATCTCTTCTATATAAATTTTATATATTTATTTTTTAATCTGACTTTTAAAAAACCCAGGCCACTGTGCTGGGCCCGGGCAGCGGTTTCCCTGGAGGGCGCCTGCCCAGTCTCGCACGGTGGCTGTGGCAGTGGCAGGAGTGACGCGTGGGGTGCAGGAGGGAGGCCAGGGCACCGCAGGCCATTGAGCTGGGCAGGCGCTGGTTTCTACAATGGCGTCGAGTGCACAGCGAGCTCGACCACACTTTGCTGTGACCCAGAGGGAAGCAATGGGAAATGCTTTCTTCCTTCACTGAACACTGGATGCTGCAGCTCAGAACCGTACCAGACTGTCCGGACACAGTGCAGAGGCTGAGACCAGGCTGCACGGGCTTTGCTGTGACACTGGTCACTGTGGCCTCCTGCTGTGGCACAAGGCGCATCTACCTGGGATGTCCCACTGGAACCCACCCTCAGCGCACTGGAAAGGTACAGCCAAGGTCAGCACCCTGAGGCTGCTTCTCCCCAGTTCCCTGAGGCTGCTTCTCCCCAGTTCCCTGGCCCAGCACTGAAATATTGTCATACACAGTTGTGTGTTTGAGGATCACATTTAAATATTTAAAATATATCTACAGTACACCTTAGTTTTCTTTATATTTGATACAAGTTTTGAATCTTGAGTGAAAATGTAAAAATAGTCACAAATGTCTTTACCAGAAATAGAAAACCACCCAGCGCAGCCAGCGAATTCCAAGGGAAGCCAGCGTTTCTGGGTCAGGGCTGTTAGGAGGTGTGTGAGGGTGGGAGAGGTCCCATGCCAGCCCTCACCGTTTCTATGACAAACCCACTGAAACAACATGCACCAACACCACCACCAAAGCAGGCTGATGCTGACTGGGACGTGTGAAATACTAGTATTTTACACACAACATGTGCACTTTCTTCCACAATGCAAGTTTGCACCCTAAGAGCTGGTAAACACTTGTCCTTTTTTTTTTTTCTTAAATACAGAAAAGGGCTGAAACTTTGAAAAAAAATTAAGTTAAGGCATCCAAAGTGGGTAAAGTTGCCTACCATGAAACATGAGGAGACAGAAGAGCCCAAGCTCTTTTACAGTAACTGCTTACCACGAGCATGCAGTTTCCACTGGCGTGGTGAGGGAGGCCAATGATGCTATGGCTTACGCAGTGCGTAGTTGCAACTGAAGTAGGAGGTCGGATGAGTGGATGTGAAAGACACGCTGGGCGTCTACGGCCCCTCTGGCGGTGTCACAGTACACATGGGTACAGTGTTGGGGTCACGGCTCAAGAGGGGGCAACGACACTGTACTGGGGTCCAAGCCAGACTCCGCTGCTCAGGGTGCTGGTGAGAGCACTCTTGGACGTGACAGATGTCTCCTACGACGGAGCTCCTCCACGCCGTGTGCAATGTAGTGTGAGTGTCGCCAAGGAAGCTTCAGGCAGCAAGTGTGGAGGAAGAGCCATGGCGCCCTTCTCTAGGAGCCAGCTCCCCTTGTTCCAAAGAAGCCCAGAAACGGCTCCAGGATCTGTAACTTACATTACAGGAAAAAGGGAACGATTGTGTGTGCACGTGTGTGTGTGTGTGTGTGTGTGTGTCCGTCCCTCGGGAGAATACAGCTTTTTACTGAGTTCTGGGCCATCACATTTCAGTCTTGTTTTACCTGGAAGAGTGTGGTTGCCTCAGATGATGGCTTGCATAGAAGGCAGTTAGCTGAAAAGAGAGAGGACAGGGCCGGCTAGACAGTGCAGTGACTTCAGACCAGTCCGTCCCTTGTAAAGGCAGCTGGTTCACACCGTGAAGCTGTGCTGTCTTCTAACCGCTATGTTTCCAACACCTAACTCATGCATAAGCATATTTAACTACATTATTTTTCTCATTTTTAGGTACATGCAATTAATTATATTCTTTCTCAGTTTTACAGTGGACTTGGTTTTGTTTTTTCTTTGGAGACAGGGCTTCATTATACAGGACCAGCTGGCCTTGAGCTCACTGTGCAGCTCAGGCCAGCCCCAAACTCCCAGTGACCATTCTGCCTCAGCCTCCTGAGTGCTAGTACGACAGGCGTGCACCTCCACACCCAGTAACAGTGGCTGACATTGCATACAAGTCTTAGCTCGGGGAAGAAGCTTCGGGGTTAAAAGCACACCACAGGGCAGCACATCTGTGCTGAAGCTTGACTTGAGGTGCAGCTGCCAGCTGAGATTTTTTTTCTTAAATACAGAAAAGGCTTAAAACTTTGAAAAACATTTAAATATTTAAATGAAGGCATTCAAGGGAGTAAAGCTGCCTGGCAGGAAGCATGAGGAAACACTTCGGCAGTAAATATACATAAAGATACTCCATGAAAACCGATGTGAGCAGACCTCAGCACTACATGAGGTAAGTGTTGAGGGCTCAACGTGCTCACTTAGCTCACTGGACACACACTCCCACTGCTTGGGGTGTGGTGGGTCGGGGGCGCTGGCCTCACCCCTCAGTCACTAGATACCAGACTACTCAGCACTGCCCCAGAGCACAGGGCTCTCCCAGCACAGCCCGGGTAACAGTCACAGAGAAAGCCGAGCCAGAAAGAGCTCCACAGCACTCAGCAGACGCCTCAGGGCTTAGGGTCCAAATTCTTGCAAGCTGGAGAAGAGGAGGGAGAGAAGCCGCCCATGCTATGTTCACAAACTCGAGCACACACAGCTTTTAGGTTTTACTTCTCAGAATACAGCTTTTTCGGAATGAACAGAAAGCACCAGATTATTAGCTCCTTTTGTTACTTCTACATTTTTCATCACTAAGATAATTTCAATTCCAACTGCATTGCAAGTTTATAGCCAATAAAGAATCTGAACATAGCATTTCATTCTGACACCTGGTGTGGGAATTTCAGTTAGAAACTTTTCTGAAGACTGTACTTTAAATGTATGCTATTAAAAGCAACCTATAAAATTCCCAAACTAGTAAAAATTAGCAAAAGCCCAAGGGCAAACCACATGCGCTACACAGAACACCACAACAACTCATTCTTCACTTTTGATTTACTCCATCTCCTCCTTCAGAAATCAAAACCATCATCGTCGTCACCAGCACCATCACCATCATCAAAGGACCAGTCCCAGTCCTTAAGCGCCAAGCCAAGCAATCTGCAACAGGAGGTGTCCAATTCAGACTCCACTCTGAAGCTGCAGCTGGCGCCACTTCCTAGAACTTTGGCTGGGAGGCGCTGCCAGCCTCGCCGGGGAAGCCGTCCCTCGCCCAGAAGAGTGCGCCCCAACGTGACTGTGAATGTGGGTGACAGCGGCCAGGCGCCAAGGCAGAAGTGGACCTGTGACACTAGATGAGTGACTGGCGCGACATGGTGGTCGCCTCGTGTGTCTCAGGACAGCAGTGCGGTCCTCTCCATCCCACAGAGCTCGAGGGTAACGGCTGGTCTGTCGCCTTGGGAAAAGCCGGGCTGGGAAGCTGGGCTGGAGGCTGTGCTATGCCTCAGCCGGGCTTGGATGCAGGGTGTAACCCTGTCCTGTTCTCTGTGACAGCACAGCCGCCTCAGCTTCTCAGACCCAGGAGAAACTGCTGGCTCTCACTGTGCCCTCCCCACTGGTCCCCAGGCTCCTGTGACCGCTATGTCACTGGGCCCGACCACTAGTGTGGCTTACACAGTGCTCTCCTGCTGCCTGAGACGTGGTACAATGGGGCTGCAGGAGGGCGTGGCTGGTGACCTTGGGGACAATGACAGAGTGGGCAGATGGGTGAGTGATCACCTTAGAAGCAAACACAATGGCTACTCACTCAGGACAACCTCTGCGGAAACACACCCACTCTGACACAATCACTCACCACTGCGCACCACATCACAGCCTGGTGCACACTCGAGTTTCTAGGCTCCATCTCCGCTGACATGCACACTAAAGTACTTTAAAAGTCAGTGTTCTGTGGGGTCAATACAATACCAAGGAAAAGGAGGGAAAACCTGAGCTTTCGACAGCCACTTTGCCCTGCACCTCACCTGGGCTTGTTGGGGGCAAGCTGCCGGCTGGGCCGCCGGACCGACTGGTTCTGCGGGATCTTCATGGAGGTCCTGGGTGACGAACGCGCAAAGGGGTCGGGTGCTGGGGGCTTCTTAGGGATCTTCTTCACCAGGCGGCTCACCCACCTCTGCTGCTCCTCTGTGGAGTTGGCGAGTAACAGCAGATTCTTTGCCGTGGATATGTCGTAATACACTGTAAGGGACACGGGGCTATGTCAGTGTGCCTGCTGCACTGGGCACCAACGCCGCAGTGGGGCAGGTGGCCCCGCTCACCTTTGCACGGCGCTATGATCTCTTCCTTTCTGTCCAAGTGGTCTTTGTGACATTTGATGTGGCAGCGGCGGCACTCCAGAGCGGGAGGGGGCTTGAACATGTGCCACAGTGGCTTCATGCAGGCCTCGCAGTTGGTCGGGAAGTGGTACAGGGTGGGGATGAACTCATGCCCTTTGTGGCAGATGTAATTCGATTTCTCTCCCACTGGTTCCACTGGAAACTCCTGTTCCTTCTTGCTCTCTCCTTCATTGGCATACAGGATCTATAAAACCAGAAAGAACCACAAGTGATGTCTAGACTGAAGTTCTAAGTCCTGACACTTCTGACAGTGTACATGAAGTAAAAATCAGCCTCGGCTACTCTGAGAAGGAACTGTGAGGATTCACCAGACATCTGCTGCTTGCACTGCACGCGCTCCGTGTGTTAGGAGCACTGACCAACCTACACTGCAGCAGGCTCGCAGAGCTCCCGGGGGGGCCTGTTCAGTACACCCACACCAGGGGTCAGTGGTGCATGGAGACCCCAGGTTCAATCCCCCAAATCAAACAGCAGCAGCGAAGAACCAACCACTGAAAAACTGGCAATTCTATTTATTCATTGTGTTTTAGGCTTCTTAACAGCAGGGCTAGCGTAAAGCTCAGGGCATTGCTAGCATGCGTGAAGCTCTGGGTCCCAGCCCCAGCAGGTAGGGAAGGTGATGGTAACATATGCTTCTTAAAAACAGAAAAACTGGTCAGGTGTAATGGTGCACACCAGTAATCCCAGCACTCTGGGGGTTGAGGCAGCAGGATCGCAAGTTGAAGCCCAGCCTGAGTAACTTAGGGAAACACTGTCTCAAAAAAGGGGATTGGGGACCAGGGATTTAGCTCAGTGGTTCCGGTACCTGCCTCACAAGCGCAAGGTCCCAAGTTCGATCTCCAGTACCAAAGGGGGTGTGGGGGGGGCCTGGGGATTTAGTTTAGTGTAAAGGCCTGGGGTTCAATCCTCAATGCCTTAAAAATAAACAAACAGCCCCATGAAACTGGGTCATAGCTAGAATACATACTAGACACACAGCCTTCTTTCAAAGATGTGTAACATATCCCAACTAAACAATGTAAGTACCCAGAAAACAAGAGACAAACCAGGCTTAGTGGCTTTTACAGAGAAAGAACTCAACGACTAATGCTGGTTTGAATAATTTTAAATAGAAGTAGTGCGGAGAAGAATTTGACTTTATTTTTCTGGTACTGGGGATTGAACATAGGGCCTTTGTACTGAGCTACATACCAGCCATTTTTTTTTTAAATTTTGAGACACGTTCTTGCTAAGTTGCCCAGGTTGGGGTTGAGCTTGTGATCCACCTGCCTCAGCCTCCCAGAGTGCCGGGATTATAAACTTGCACAACCCACCACACCTGGCTGGCTTCTTGTTTAAACAGGAAGTAAACAGGCTACTAGGTATAAAATTTAACTTCCTAAGTGACATTTTTAACTTTTTCAGAGCAAATCCTAAAACCAAAAACAGGACAAAGTTCAAGTTTAAAAAAAAAAAATTGCCGTGCTCGCTTCGGCAGCACATATACTAAAAAAAAAAAATTGCGAAAAATAACAAAGATAAGAAACATGATGGAAACACACTATGGGCTTTCACAAGTAAAGTTCCAAAGAGAGGAATGAAGTTTCCATACAGAACAAGCAGACGCGGGAGAGAGGGAGCCATCTCCCAGTGGCTGAAAGGTGACCCGAGGGTCAGGGGGAAAGGAGCATGATCAGCCGGGTTGTGCGAGAACCTCCCAGAGCGAGAAGGCGGAACTGCTTACCTGGAATATCCTTGGAATTTCTTTAGCATCTGCTCTATAGACATCCGTCTGTGTAACCGGTCGGACATGAAATAATTTGCTATAAAAGATTCATAACGCAATAAAATGTTACCAAAGGTTCAAAGTACATTAGTTAACCTCCACTTGTGTTAAACCCTGACCACTCTGACCCATGTGAGAAGCTCACAGAATATCTTGTTCTATTAATTCAAACATTACTTATGATTTTTCAGAAATTTTCAGTAAGTTAAAATTTTCCAATTGAGTTTCACAAAATATATTTAAGATCCATGAAATAAAGATGACTGAGATAATCCTATATCCTAGACTTGTAAGAATATAAGAAAATGTAATCTGAGTACAGTAAGAGCTATGTCACAAACTCGTCTATGACTGCTAATAATCGGCATCAACTTGACAGGAAAGGGGGCACCTCACTCTCATTCTGCAGAGGGTGATGAAGACGGGAAAGAGACAGTAAAGGCATGCTCAGACGATAAAGTCTCTCAACACTCTCATAAAAACACTTACTCTATATCTAAAACCATGTAAGGGTTAGACTGCTCTTTATCTTGTTCACTGTCATAGAAAAGAATCTTCTTACTGCTCACAATCACGTACTGTTAAAAAGAGGGAAGGAAAGAGTCAATAATATATATACCATATTTATTGCTTTCTTTAAAAATCAGTTGTATATGAATAATTAGAAACTAATGAGTAACTAAGATGTACTGAAACATCTTTAGGAAAGTCTTCCTTAAAATAACAAAGTTGTCGGGCTGGGGATTTAGCTCAGTGGTTCTGGTGCCTGCTTCGAAAGCGCGAGGTCCCGAGTTCGATCCCCGGTACCAAAAAAAAAAAGAAAAATAACAAAGTTGTTTATAGATATTTATTTCCTGGGGGGGGGGTCAAGTATTTCTGGACCAAAAATGAACATAATAACATCACTAATCACAGTAACAGAAGAACAGAAACTAAATGGGCCTCTCTCTCCTCTCCGGAGCTGTTTCCCACCAAGACAGCAAAAGCACCAAAGTCAGCAGGCTTTTATTTCCCAACCCAAACTCAGTTTATCATTAACAACACAGGGAGAGTAATTTTACAGAGATGAAATCACATCCCTCCAAATCAGAGTACAGGATAGTTTTATGTGTCTGAAAAGTCTTGCTCATGTACATCCTACAACAGTGAAACAGCCAGAGCTAAACTGGAAGCACACAAAAAAGAGCCATATTCAAAACTATTAATTACCTTCTTAACCCATCCAAATTTCTTCGTGTTGTTTCGCACAGGTAACGAAAGCCATCCTTCTAATCTTGACTCTACAAATAAGCACAAGATATGAGGATAAATCTAATGGTTCCCTTTACACAATGACAAATTCCACTTTCACATGGAAACCACAAAGTCCATCCAATATGCCCTTCAGATTTTATCACTGTATTTTATCTAGGATGTAATAATAATACAGGATCAATAAAAGCCAAGTTATGTGGTGCAAAATGAAATCCAGGTTATATCACACTGGAAAAAATACTGCAAAGTTGCATAAAGTCAAACAACCCGTTAAATCCATGCATTGGCATAATTCAGGAGAAAACTTGCAAAACCAAAAGCTCCAGCAACTCTTCATTCTCACTGGTATATAAGCATTACAATCCTTTGGAAGAAGGCCTAACTATAGAGAGAATGAAAACCTTTAAGGACAAAACATTTTAGATGAGTGGTTCTGTTTTCAGAGACTTTTAGAATGCCTACAATAAAATGACGTAAGACTGTGAATTACAGATCAAAACTGGTCTTGATACCACGAGCAGCAATATAAGCCAAAGATTTCTAAACTCCGAAATACCAAAGAAGTCTCTAAGCCCTTGGAATCTGTTCTAGCACAACGATCAGTATCTTGGGCAAAAGTAGGGCTTGGGGAGGTCATTCTAGCAGTAAAAGTCACTGTCAATCTCTCAGCACAAGCCAGCAGTATTGGACTCTACCTGAGCTCTCTGTAACCCTAACTATACAAGGGAACATGGGAGGCCACACTTTGACTCAAGTGAAAACATCCTGGTCTCTTCACTTAAATATAAGCATTTCAGGGTAATGTCACATCAAAATGTGCCATGTCCTCTTCTAAGGCCTAAGCCAATGTTGACTATTTTAAGTCCTCAATGAAAACCTTAACACATTCTCTTAAACAGTCCACGTGTTTTTCTGTACTACCATTCTTGATAGGAAACTGCAGAAAGAATTTCTTGGCTGAAAATAGATCCAGAAGAAAAACCACTCTTACATAACAAAATACCTCACTCTGTTTCTCTTAATTTGCCAAAGTAAACATGCAATTATATAACACGTCACATCAAAATACCTTAAAAACACAGTCTCTGTTCATGCAAATTTTTGACTGAGTCTACAGCAACTTGTCAGAGTTAGTGAAGATTAGTTGATACTGTAAGAAGTTTTCCAAAAGGCTATGATTGAGGGTAGCGGGAAAGGCCTCGAAGACGAGGTTTCTGCACTGTCACCTGTACCACTGGGCTCCGATGGAATGGGCAAGTAAGCCAAAGGCTCTTCCGAGTCCGAGTCCGAGTCTGAGTCAAGGAGTGCGTGAGGACCAGAAGACCTGGTGGCCACACTGAGACAAGTGGAGGAGTGCTGGTAGGAGAAGGACATGGACTGCACGGTGTGAGACTGAGCAAGGCGAACTGAACACCATCGTACAAGGAAGCCAGGTGCGGGGTGGAGAGAAAAGCAAAGGGGAGCTTACAGAGAGCTCCTAGTGAGCACAGAGCGAGCTCCATGTCTCAACAGGGACTGCCTTCTTTTGCATATTTGTTTTTTCATGAACAGTAGTGACAAAAATCAACAAATGAGTTCAAAATATTATTTCAATTCCCACTCCAAGGATTAGGAAATCATAAAGAAAATGATAAACATTTTTCCTCAAAAGCAAAGTCAGCCATGGGACTTAAACCCATCCACTGACTTCCGGTGAGGACAACCAGGATGGAGAGCAAAGCTGTACCTGGAAACCCGTCCTCTGCCTCCGTGTCCCCTGGCCCACTGCCGATGCTGGAGCTGTCCAGGCCAATGTGCAGGGCCTGGAGCTGCGACCGCAGCTGCTCGATGTCGCTGTCCTTACTGTCTAGTGTCATCTGCAGTTCAATTCGAATCTGGCTCTCCTCAGCTATTTGCTATAAAAAATGAAGTTAACTCAGTTAACTGCATGAGACCTCATGATTTTGCATCCTGGCTCAATAAGTTGTTTGTAGAAATGCTCTATAACCAGCCAAACACACAGAGACATGGACATGATTCTTTTTCTTAAGAGGAAGCCTTCAATGTGGAGTCTGATAAGTATGCTTACAGCCTGCATTTCATTCAGTTCCTTCTGGTACTTGATCATCTGCTGGGTCAATTTTTCTCGCTCAGACTTCAGTTCCATGTGCAGCTTTCTATTCTCCTTCTCTTTCCTTCGCACGTCTGTGTCACTGCCACGCTTGATAGGTTCTTTTCGATTCATGATCTCAGCCAACTTATTCACAGCCTTAAAAATGGAAAAACAATAAAATACATGTTGATGCTTTCTTAGTAACTCACCAGTCCCAAATTACACAACCACTAATAATCTCCTTCCCTATACACAGAGCTACAAAGAAACATTTTCTAGGGCCAGGGATTTAGCTCAGTGGTTCTGCCACCTGCCCTGAAAGTGCAAGGACCTGAGTTCGATCCCTGGTACCAAAAAAGAAAAAAAAGAGTAACAAAGAAACACTTTCTAGGTAATTAAATAATAATCCTTCTTTATTACTCACTGTCCTCCATTCTATGCAATACTAGTTTTTTTGGGTTTTGTTGTACCGGGGAATCGAACTTGGGACCTTGTGCTTGCGAGACAGGTGGTAGAACCACTGAGCTAAATCCCCGGCCCTGCAATACTAGTTTTTGAGAACTATAATTTACAATATTTATAGGGGGCTGAGGGCATAGTTCAGTGGGATAGACCTTGCCTAGGGGTGTGAGGCTCTGGGTTCAATCCCCAGCACCAATTAAAACATTTCTAACCCTTCAACTTTTGTTCCAGAGGAGCCATGAATATGCAGATGTTTCTTCCTTTGCTCTGAAGGAAGAATTTTGCCCTAACATCACACTAGAAAACACCCTGCCCAATGTCAGAGAAGGTACCAGGCACCCACACAGCCTGTGCTGTCTGCAGCACCCAAGGGAACCGATGCAGTGGTCACTAACTGCAGGGCCTGTCCAGGCTGTCCAGACACCGAGCAAATGGTCATTCCCTATTAACTTCTAAGAGGAGAAACGCTTACTGGATACGATAAGCCATGAGGAGACAATGGGAGTGCAGGTGAAAAACGAAGAAAACCTTTAACAGACACTGAATGGGACAATGCTAGTGAAATCTAGCTTCTCCCAGCCTGGCTAAAAGCAGGTTCAGAAATGCTGATACAAGCAATGGCGACAGCTTCCTATCTGTAACGCTAGCAGTAAACCGAAGAGAGAGAAACAGAACACGACAGGACACTGAGAGTCTGGGGACGTACCTGAGTCTTGAGCGTTCTCTCTGTCAACAGCTGTTTCTCAAACTGTGCTTTAACAGCTGTGGCACTTAGCTCCTCGTCTTTCAGCCTTGATAGCTCTGAAACATGGGAAACACGGGTTAGACTGACAGCACCAGAGCGGCGGACAGCGGGTACAGGTGTTAGAAACCAACGTTACTCTATACGTACGCTCTTGAGCATCTTTCAATTTGTTATTTAATTCTTCTTTCTCGTTGGCAAGATTGGCAACATCACTAGTTAGTGTCCTGTTTGTTTCTTCAAGCTGATGAACAAAAGTGAAAAAAAAAAATCACATCCCAATTTCAATCTGTGAGCCATGACATCCTAATTCAAATCCAGGTCCTAAAGTGTTGCCGGCCTCTTCTGTGTCTGAGATTACTGTCCTCGGCTACTTCCCCGAACTTTCCCCCAGCTGCTGGCTTCCACCGGTCCAGGACTCCACTTCCGGCCTCTCTATCTCTCCCGCTGACCGGACCGCACAGCCCTGTTCTAATGCACAACTCGGGGCTTCCCACGCCATTTCTGTGGCTTTGAGTCACTGGTAGGAGAAATCTACCTATCTGGTATTTTCCTTTGCTTTGCAGTTTCCCTTTAGTTGGACTGTCTCTGCCCAACACTGAGACACCTGTAGTTATGGGATCAAAGAGTCTGCAGCCAGGAGTGCGGGTTTCCCCTAGGATCTGACACAGGCCTCACTCTCGCAGAAGCCTGGTAGAGCGACTGCATTACAAGCAAGGAGGCAGCAGCTCTCACTCACCGAGGCAATGGTGGCGTCCTTCTCAGTGAGCTCCTGTTTATGTCTGGCCATCATCTCCTTGATCTCCAGCTCTTTCATGATCTTCTCCTTTTCCAAATCGGAATACTGTTCTTCAGCAATTGAGCGAGCCAGCTGTTCGGAGTCCGCCTTGGTCAAGGTGATCTCCAGCTGGGCGGCCAAGGAGTCCCTGCAGCACAGAGACACCGTTCAGGCTTGTGCTCACGTGTTCTTGTGTGAGGGCCGGGCCTAGGGTTCCTGCGTGCTTGGCTCACACCCACATCCTGGGCTGCGTGCGCAGGCGCGTGCACACACACACACACACACACACACACACGCACGTATGCTCAGTCCCCACTGTGGAGCCTGAGCCCTGTCTGCTGGCTGCATCCACCTGTGAGCAGAGCCACAGCAGTGCTTGGGAACAGGACAAACGTCCCTGCACAGGAGGCCCTGTGCTCACTCACCTTTCATCCTGGAGCTCCTGCTTCTTCTGCTGTAACTCTTTACAAAGTTTGGTCTTTTCTTCGCATTCTTCTTTAAGTTCCCTAACTTGGGTTTTATAGAGGGTCTAAACAGCAAAAAATACAAAAGAAATAGGTACTAAGTGTCAAGAGTATTATTTTCACATTCACAACACACCCAGAGACAAAGCTGAACACACACAAACTCCATCCTAACGCTCAGGGACCCTGGGCTGCTGAGCCTGTGCACAATGTGATTGGCCACCTCATCAGCCACTGGGGCTAAGATAATGGCGGTGGAGCAGCTGGGAAGGGCTCATCCAGCAACTGCAGAGCCGCTGGACAGCTCTCACGGCTGGCCAAGTGGGCAGGTGAATGAGGAACCGGGCATTTTCAATTCAGAACAGAAGATTCTGTTGACTTAAATCAACAGAGCAGGGTGACAATTTCTGCTTCAAATTTAAAACCAATCTCAAAAAGTTTTATTTCTTTCATTATGAAGACACAATCTTCAGTGGTTCCAGCGCCTGCTTCACAAGTGTAAGTTTCTGAGTTCGATCCCTGGTACCAAATCAACAACAACAACAAAAAATAACACGAAGACACAATCTTCCTCAACAAGCAATGCTCTTAATAAGTTTCACAGACACAGTACAGTACATCTATTCTACATAGTACAGTGCTTAGAATTGTTTTTTGAGACAGGGTCTCACGATGCAGCCCAGGCTGGCCTTGCATTTGTGGCGACCCTTCAGATTCAGCCTCCGGAGTGCTAGGGTTACAGGTGTACACCACCATGCACAGATAATCATTTTTCTGGCGATGATAACGATTTCTGTTAAATTACCTGCATTCCTTTTTGTCCAGTACTTTTTACGAATTGGGTTACACAAAATATTCTACCCCAACACTGCCAGGTGTTAAGAATCTATTTTAAAGAAGCGCATTTTCCTGGTTCTGCAGCAAGAGCTTTAAGAATTCTACAAATAGAGCAATTTTCCAATGAGCATGGATGGACTTACGGAGAAATACTGCTCTGCTTCAAGCTGATCTTGCAGCTCTTTCATCTGCCCATCTGCATCCTGCCGTTCTCTGTGAAGACAGGGGGACACAGGATCGAGTGAGTCCTGTGACACCAGGCAGTGAGGTGGTGTGGGCAAGCCCAGCTGTCTCAGACTCCACCGCACGCCTGAGAGGGTGCCCTTGCATGCTCGCACTGTGCTCAGTCCCGAGCATGCATGGGCTCCCGAGGCCGCAACACATGAGGACACCTCTATCCCACAGCTAATGAATGCACTTGTTTTAGTCTCTAGCAAAACAAGTATCATTACAGCTAACTCACATAACCCTCACTTTCCAGCGCAGGAAGGACTCTGAAGCCAGTGTCACACTAAACCAACAGCACTAAACTGCTGAGTCTCCTACAGAACCCACATCAGCCAACAAGGCTCCCCGGAGAGTACAGAGGGTCTGGAAACCAGTTATCTGAGTGAAGAGGCTGGGAGGGGCATCAGGGGATTAGGAGCCCTGGATTTATGTTTTACTTTTTATTTTTGAGACAGGGCCTCACTGTGTAGCCCAGGCTGGCCTCAAACTCGCGGTGATCCTCCTGCCTCAGCCTCCGGAATCCTGGGATTCTAGGTGTACACCACCACGCTCAGCTAGGAGCCCAGGTTTTAGATCTAAATCATGACGATGAGTGCATAGATTTGTACACTGTAAAAGCTGACTCAGTTCTAAATTTCTAATTTTTCAACTTTTTCTGTATGTTCATCTTTTTTTTTTTGGTACTGGGGATCAAATTCAGGACCTTGCATTTGTGAGGCAGGCAGCGGCACCACTGAGCTAAATCCTCGGCCCTCTGTATGTTCGTCTTAATAAATAAATAAAAAGCAAGCCTAATAATCCATTTAAGTAACTGAGTTGAAATGCTATGTTTAAAGTCCAGTCTTTTTTTTTTTTTTTGGTACCAGGGCTTGAACTCGGGTCCTTGTGCTTGCCAGGCAGGAGACGGAACCACTGAGCTAAATCCCTGGCCCTCCGGCCTCATTTTTAAAACATAAAAATTATATTTACTCCAAGTCAAAACTAAGGGGGAAAAATCACTTGGAAAACAATGCAATGTCTATGATATAAAAAACAAAACCAAGGGCCAGGGATTTAGCTCAGTGGTTCCACCGCCTGCTGGCTGCCTCAAAGGGGCAAAGACCCAAGTTCAATCCCCAGTACCAAAAAAACAAAATAAAACAAAACCAAAACATACAAAGCTCCAATCTTGTATATATATTTGCACAGATACATACGTACAGGCACAGAAAAAGTCTGGGAGCATAAATAATGAACTAAGATGTGTTACTTCTGGAGAAAGGAAAACGTCTGTATCATAGAAACTGTGTTCTCTCTCTCTCAGTATAATTTGTATCTGAGTATTTTACAGTTAGAAAATAGTTGAATACCACTTGGATATCTGAAAAATGTGTATTGGAAGAAAGACCCAGAGTGAATGACTTAATCTTAGTATGTTTAATTTGTGTATTACTTAGGACTTTTATCCTCATTCCCATTTAACATAATTTGGTTAGTTTGTTTATTCACTGGCTCTTCATCATCTGGGTAAAAAGGAAATTATGACTTAATGTCACTCAGTCTATGTTATTTCTGTATTTTATTACTGACCAGTGTTTCCCTTGTATCCCATTTACTTCTGCACCCATCTTACCTGTCTCATGCATAACTGTGGTAAAGTCCTAGGAGGTCTCAGGGTAGGAAATGCGGGTGACTAATGTTTGTGCTCCACAGTGACTATGGCAATGCTGCACATGGGACAGGCATGCGTTCATTCATGGGCATTTGTTCAGGGTGTGCAAGACATGGGTCGGGGTGGGGGAACAAAAGGTAATAGACAAATAGTCCTTGCCTTTCCAGAACGTGCAACCTATTTGGTGGCTAATCGTCAGACACAGGTGTCTTTTGGGAGCAGTAGATTGAAAAAGAAATTAAGAAACAACAGGGCCGGGGATTTAGCTCAGTGGTACTGTGGCCTGCCTCACAAGCAAAAGGACCCAAGTTCAATCCCCGGTACCCCCCCCCCCCAAAAAACAACAAAAGCTTGTGCACTTACAAAGAAATGAGAGGGTTTTCTACACCGAGGACCATAAATAAGGCACAAACCACGCACTATCAGAACAGGACAGGAACACTAGCCGGATGACCACTAGCTCCTGCATTCATAAAGATGCTGTGCAGAGTAGCTGGACGTGTGGCTTTGAACCTGTGTTCCCAGAGCCTAGGCCTGCAGTCCACAGCTTAGCTGCAGGCCAGAATTTCCACCCCCGGGCTTGAGGGCCAATGAAATGAATCTGGGGTGTTTCCAAGTACATGAAACTAGAAGACAACCCCTGGGGATATGGATACTAATTGTTCAGTTAAGTGGGAAAAGCTGAGCTAAAATAAGAATATAAAATTAATACATAGGACGGAAAAAGATAAAGCTGTTGGACTCTTACTCTGATTTCTAGCTGTAATTTTGAAAGCTGAAATCTCATTGTGTTGAAGAATCTACGCTTACCTGGCAACAAATAAATGAGCATGAAAGAGCAAAGTCTTCTGACCATTCTGACCAGCCTTTCTACAAAGTGTCAATCTCACTGATGTGGCACAGGCTTCAGCAATGAGTAATACTTGCCATTCTGGTAGTTATGGTAATAATGGTTCCCAGCATTTAATGGGTCCTAAATAAATTAGAGTTTCCTCTACAAGATCCTTAAGTAAGCCCCAGTTTTATTTACAAGATAGCTAACAAGCAAGAGTGACTCCTCCTTTGACAGATGAGACAAGGCTCAGAGAGCTGAATGTCTCGCCCTGTTCTGGTCAGCGAGCAAATGCACAGTGCGACGGACACTCACACTCCTGTCCGCCTGGCTCTGGAGCTCAGTCTTCCCCTCTGCCACCACCCTGACTGGGTGACTGGGATTCCACGGGCCCTTTCATCTAGTGCTTACAGAAAGATGGACAGACTTCCAGGGTACATTTACTGCATATTTTGAAAGAGTTTCCTGTTTAGGTTTTTTTTTTTTTTTTTTTGAGTTTTTTGAGACAGGGTCCCATTGTGTAGTTAGGGTGATCTAGAACTCACTCTGTAGTCCAGGCTGGCCTCAAACTCACGGTGATCCTCCTGCCTCAGCCTTCCAAGTGCTAGGATTACAGGTGTGCACCACCACACCAGGCATATTTTGAAAGTATTTTAACAATGTTCTCCATGTCCTAGGTAAGTTAAGTAGAGCACCAAAGATATCTTATAAAGTGATTAAAAATTTATATGGTTTTTTCTTAAAAGTCAGACAGTGTCAAGTCCTAGAAACTAAGGGACACACCAACAGGGGCAGAACGCTCCTGGGCCAGCCCGAGGAAGGCTCTCGGGCAGGCTTGGAACCCTGGTGACCTTCTGCCCACACCTCACATCCTTCCCGCCACAGAGCAGTTACACAGCAGCGGGAAAAGCAATGGGGAACCACAGGCAGGCCCCACCCCACCCCACCCCACCCCAGGGACGCACTTTCGGAGCTCGGCGTTCTGCTTCTCCAAGCTCAGCTTCATCTCCACCAGGTGGTTGTTCTCCTGTTTCAGCTGTTTCTCTGACATCTTCAGTGTGTTCACCTGCTGTGTCTGCATCTTCAGGTCATTCTGTGTGAGGCAGCGCTTCTGAGTTTCCTGCTCTATCTTTAACGTCAAGTTTCTAACCTAGAAAAAAAAATAAATTGCAAGTTTGATAGTAAGTAAACTATATTCATTTTTCTGATCAATGAAACTGGCAACAATTATGGTGATAGAAAGACTTCTGTCCTTAGGTAATCGATTTATTTCAGAGCACAATATGTATTTCCAAAAATGTTTTCAATACATCTTAACCTAAAATATTCTTTGAAAATCATTTTGAAATTATTAAGTTACGACTCAGTTATTATATCATCAAATCCAGTGAAAGCACCAGGCCACTAAGAAAAACGGCACCCGTCCTGAGCGTCCCGCCCACCCCCGGACTCCTGCAGCAGCTCAAGGGAGAGCCGACACTCACATCCTCGTTGAGCACGTCCTTCTGCTTGAGGAGCTCGTTCAGCTTCTGCTGCGACTGCTTCAGGTCGCAGTCCAGCATGGAGCACTTCTTCTCCGACTCCAGCAGCAGGTTCTCTACCTTCTGTTTTAAAGTCCTTTCTTCCAACAGCTTCTTTTCCATTTCTGTTACAGTGACATGGACATAACCATGACTTTACAAATAAAAGCAACTTATCAAATACATAACAGTGCCATAAGAAAAGCAACAGTAAAGGTATTGCTTTATTATGTATTTTTTACTCACTTCCGCTTTAGTATTTTTATAACTCCTCTCAACATATTTAAAACATCAGGAACTGTACACCCGATGGAAGTGTGGTGGTGCACGCCTATCATCCCAGCACTCCTGGAGGCTGAGGCAGGAGGATAGCATGTCTGAGCCCATCTTGTTTTTGTTTTTTTTGGTACCGGGGATCGAACTCAGGACCTTGCGCTTGAAAGGCAGGTGCTGGAACCACTGAGCTAAATCCCCAGCCCCCATCTTGTTAATTTAGCAAATTTGAGATGGCTGCCTCAAAATTAAAAAAAATTAAAAAAAAAAAAAAGGTTGGGGATGTAGCTCAGTCTGAAGGCCCTGGGTTTAATCCTCAGTACTGGAGGAAAAAATTACAAGTGCTGTTATTTCCAGGGCATAGAATGGATCACACTCTTTAACATTACATCTACTGTAGTGGGGGCAAGATAATCTGCCTTTCCCCCCTGCCCCCTTAAATTCTTTTATTGGTGCATTTTAGGTCTACAATATGTTTACATTTATCATCAGGTGCTTGTGCCTGTACATGATGTGACCTGGTTCTTATTTTTCCCCATTACCTGTGCACCCTTCCCTATTTACATAGACTTTGTTTCCATTTTTTTCTTTTCTCGTAATTTTTCCTTTCCTTTCCCCTTCTCCTCCCACCACCCCTACCCCTTCAGACCTGTTCTTCCTATTTGATAATTTGCCTTTTTACAGTTCTGTAAAATGGTTACACCTGTGAAGGCTGATTTTCACAGTATTCTAAGTCTCTGGTGTCACTGCTTCTACCCAGAGCATCCCAGGAGGACAATACCTGAGCAGGCAAGCTGCCCTCCCGACCCTCTGCTCAGCTCCAGGCAGGGCACGGAGCACTCAGCTATACCCAGTAGGTGGCAAGGACTGGGGAAGTGCTCATTAATGCTTATGTATTTTTTTTTTTTAAAGAAAAAAGCAAAGCAATTTAGGAAATGGGGAAAAAATACAGAATAATATCTAGATTAGTAGGATTAAGGGTAACCTATTTGGGGTAGGGTACTGGAGACTGAATCCAAGGAGCACTGAGCTACACTCATTCACTCATTCATTCATCCAACAGGTTCTCACGAGTTGCCCAGTCTGGCCTCGACCCTGCCATCCTCCTACCTCTGCCTTCCAAGTACCCAGATTACAGTACTGTGGCACCACACCCAGCTGGACTACAGGTAATCTCAGGTTTTAGCTACATTTTTCTATATTTTTCTAAGTGATTAAAGTTTTCATTTGTTTTAGTAATTAGGGCAAAGCCTCCATCCATGTCAAAGTGAAGACCAGAGTTTACTGTTAAATGATTTCAAGATGAAAAGTTCTCACAGATAAAGGCTTGCCTTCTGATACATGGATCAGTGTCTCAGTGCAAATCTAATTAGGCTCCTTTGCTCCTCATACCTGTGCTCAACATCTCATGCCATCGAGTGCTTTCTGGGAAAAATTAAGCCTGTTTTCAGGTTTTGATGAAGCGCTCTGTAAACACTGCTCACAACAGACAGCGCTTCCCAGCACTTCACATGGATAACTGCAGGGTGTACACCACAGCTACCAACACTACCACTGTCCCGTTCCAGAGGACCAAGCACAGAGTTCAAGTCATTGGAGAAGGTCATTCTGCTCCTACTGCTAGTGACCATGTACAAGTAAGGCATGCTCTTGACCCAAGGAGGCAATGACGTGCAGCAGCAAGACCATGGGATGCAGACCAGGCCCGAGCGCCATCTCCAACAGTGACATCTAGGATGCTTGTGTGCCACATGTGGAGTTGCCATGCAGCTACTTGTGTTGGGAGTAACAGTTTGGAAATAATGGTAGCTGTATTATACTGAATTGGCTCATTCTTCTGAACAAGTACACTCACTTTAAAAATAATCACATAATGTGGCCACAAATAACAGAGGCAAAAGGAAACTGTGGTGATAGAGAAATTCTCTATCTTATTTTGAACAGAGATTACATTGTCACTGTCAAACACATTTATACTTTACTGCACATAAATTATACCTTCACAAGAACAACGCAAGTCTCCTCTGAGGCCATGGGTAAAAGTGATGTGGCCTGGCTTCCTGTCTCCCACCTGAGAGTTCTGAGTAAAGTGCTATTTTATTTATCACCATCCTGAGCTAGTGCCTTAATCCAAACCTGCTCCAGTAAGCCATCTACAGCTTTCACTAAACATAATAATTCAAAATATATTTTTGCTAAGTTATTCACAAACGTTATGCTTCCATATGAAATGAAATTTATGCTTATAAATTTTAAGACTCCTAAGAGTACAGTAAAGTACTGATTTATTTTGGAATTCAAATCCATTATAATTACACACAATTCAAAACACAAGAAGTTACCCCAAGGTGAAGGGTGTTGTGTAGGAAAGTCAGCCGATGGGCTCTGACGCCGTCTAGTGAGCATCTTCACTGCGCCAGGGTCCAAAACACTCACAACTAAGGTTCCAGTTAGAGCAAGTGGCATTTTACATCTTTACCCCAAATAAACTGGCAACAGTTTTGCAGCACAAGCTGGTGAAATGCCAAACCAGAACAAATACTACCCAAGAGAACATGCTCCCCAATTTTTGAGACCTAGACATTCATATTCTGTATGTGTCATTCTTGACACCACTGAAATATTAATTTCTCTGACTTAAAAATATAGTTGAATAGCTTTGTGTTTGGGCCTTAGTGTCTTAGGAATAGTTTTGTTGATGCAAAGAGAAAAAATATGGGTTGTAAAGCCTCCCTGATAAGTTTTTCCCCAAGTTCCCAATGTTTGACAATAAAACATAAATATATTTCAGAACCAAAGAGTCAAATACAGAATCAGTTCTCAGGCAAATGCTGCTGGAAAACTCTCTTTTCAAATATGTACCTTTCATGGCTTCCGATTTAGCTTCCTCAATGGATTCGTAGATCTTATTTTTGTCTGCGAGCCGCGCTTTCGTGGCCTTGTGCTCAGCTTCTTCCTGCTCGAAGCTCTGCTGGATAACTTTGAGCTGGTATGTCATGTCTATTTCCATGTTGCTCTTTTCCTGAGAAGATGTCAAATGGCAGCTATCACCAAAAAAAGCTGCCTTGCAATTTCAAAAGCTCTCAAGATTGTTTCTAAACAGGCTCAGCAGGAACACTCAGCACCGCCCCTGTCCAGCCCTCTATGCCCACTGCCTCTTTAGGCCCCTCACCCCGGCCACCCCTGCAGGCCACTGTTCAGGGCTGCTTCCTTACTGTCACGGCTGCTTCCTCAGAGTGACCTGGGAGCCTCACCATCACATTCTGGGCTCGGCCCAGGTTTTCTCTCAAAGTCACCTGCGTCCTCAACACTGGCTCTCCCCAACCTGTTCCCGTCCTTCCTGCTGCTCCTGGTTTCCCCAGCTGTCTCAGTGCTGGCATCTTCTGGTCACAGGGCTTCTCCTCTTCCTGTGGTAATTTCTCAAACTTTCTGTGGTATATTTCTAGTATTTAATGTTTCCCCTCGCTACATTAAAACAAAACAGGGCCGGGGATTTAGCTCAGTGGTTTCAGCTCCTGCCTCGCAAACGCAAGGTCCGGAGTTTGATCCCTGGTACTAAAAAAAAAAACAACCCAAAAAACCCTCAACAACATCTCCTATTGTTCACCCGTAGCTCCCACATTGGGGTCTTATTTTAAGTGAAATCATATTCACTATTTTTCTACATATACCATCAGAAATATTTTTTTTGAGACAGGGTCTTGTTATGCATTCTAGGCCGGCCTTGAACTGACTATGTAGCCTAGGTTGGCCCTGAACTTGCAGTGATCCTCCTGCGGCAGCTTCCTAGGTGCTGGGATTATAGACGTAATTGTACCTGGCGACCACCAGGATTTCCTAATTCTTTGATTTCTATAGTTCATATCACAAATATGATGTAGATTTTTTTTTTCTTCTTTCAAACGAAATCTTTAATACGGAAAATGTGCCACCACTGGGCATGGTGGCACATGCCTATAATCCCAGCACTTGGATAGAAGTGAGTTTGAGTCCAGCCTGAACTACATAGTGAGATCCTGTCTCAAAAAACCAAAAAGAAAGAAAATGACTTTTCAAACTACAACAATTCACCACCAGAAGCATGCACTTTGCTTTGGTAACTGCCACTCTATGCAGTTTCTTCCCAGGTGGGTCCTTCTACACCTCTGGTTTAGCCTCTTACCTACCCATGAATTATCCCTACCTGCTACGGGCATGGCTTCCTGCCTCATGGACATTCTAATGTAGCTAGCCCAAAAGCACTTCAAAGAGGGCTAAGATGGATTTACTGCTGCCACCTCTAAATGAGCTGAGTTTCCTTAATTCTTTACTCAGTGGCACCACTACACTATCTTGTCATGGCCTACGAACTGAGCCCTCATCCTGGCAACTACTCTCATACCACAACTAATCTGCAACCAAGTCTAAAGAAAAAGAGTCTATCACTGTGAAAATGTTCCAATTGGTGATTTCTCTTATTTTAGAATAACTTTTCTCATCTGAAATTCTACTGTGATTTTTCTTACACAACAAATGTAAAGTTTAACAGATTTTACCTTTTCCAAATCAGTAAGCTTCTCCTGCAGTTGTCTCTTCTCCAGTTCTACTTTTGCTAGTAAGATTTTGCCATTCTTTAAATCTTCTTCTAGGCCAGATATTCTACCTAAAGATTGCAACACTTTTTTAAAACAATCTACTCACAAAATTATATACATTCAATTAAGAGTAAAAACTTTGGAAGCCCTCTCCTATTTTGGATCTCTTGTCTTGTCAGCAAGCATTTCCTACTTGTTGGTAGAGAGCTTCACGATTCAGCCAGAAGCCAATCTACGACCTACAGGATCTGATATTTAAAATCATACTATCTGAATGTGTACTTTCATACAACTTTACAGCAATGCACTTCAAATGTTCTAACTTTACATAACACAGTGCTGCATTCAGAAATACACTACTGTAGCACAGCACCCACCATGTAACATCATTACCAAGATACAAATGATCATGACAATTTCAAATGCAATCTCTACTCTGTACCTTGTAAGTCACTGATGATCTCTGATCTGTGGGTCCAGTCCCTCCTTTCTGACTCCAGAGCAGACTGAAGATTGATAAACTCCTTTTCCAGTTTTAACCTGGCAGTCTCTAGCAGGCAGTTTTTATCCTGCAGATCTCTGTTGTTGGATTCCAGCTGTTGAATCTGTTTGGAACTTTCCGCCTGGGTCTTTCTCAACCGGGCTGCAGTATCAGATTCTGTTCGCAGCAAAGCATTCGTTTCATCCAGCTGTTATTCCATTCAAAGGCAAACAAACACAGTGGTTACAATGGAAACACATTGGTTTATTACCCCGTCACAAACTATTTAAAATAAACAACAACCTAAAAATGTTTCCCAAGGACCTCCCTCTAAAACTAGAGCCACAGCCTTCTGATCACTGCCAACGAACCTCTGGTTAAAGAAGTCGTGAATCAAACACTATACCCTATCTCCAAGTAAGAGGAACCTACCTGTCTCTGTAGCTGGTTCACTTTCTCGGTAGATATTTGAGAGTTCTGGTTTCTTTTTTTCAAATCTTCAAGTTGATCTTTTAAGCTGTTGACTATAACAAAAAGCATTTCAGTGCAAGCTCTAACACAATATATATTTTTCTTGATAAGTATTTAATATTCTACACCACAAACCATCATTTTCTAAATTTCGTTTCTTGTCTGCTTCGTGATCAGCTTTCCTTTGATATTCTGCATTTTTGTGCTGAAGAAGCGCCTTTTCTCTTTCTAATTGTCTTAATGCTGATTCCACATTTTTCCGTAAGGTAATCTGAAATAAGGCTTAACATTATTATCAAAGGAATGCATACAAATCAAATCAAAGCAAAATACTTCAGTCATTTCAAAAAGATAAGAGATCTAAAAAACCTATCACTGTTTTGTTAAAAATATTTTTAATGCTTATAAAATAGCACACTACACTACTTTTAAATAATCAAAACTGTATGTCTATTGTTTAGTATGAAGTCAAACTTTCTATCACTATAATGCCCAAACCTACAGGTCTAAAATGTTATGAACAACAATTAAAGAAAGAGTCAATTTCTAGATTTAAGCGTGCTACTAATCACAATACAAATGCAACTTTTACTTGAAATATCTACACATAGCAAGTAATTCAAGTTTGCAAGAAACACAACAGAATGAAGTCTAGGTAACAGAGTTACCTTGTAATTTCAGTCTTGTCTACCAATATCAATATGTATTCCCACAGTATTAGAGACCTCTATAAGTCACACATCAAAGATTTTGGCAACAAAAATGCTAATAGGGAGAGTGGGGCTCAGTGATAGAGCACCTGCCTAGCACATAGGAAGCCCAGGATTCAATACCCAGCACCGAAGGAAAGTAAGTTAGTAAAAGAGTGGAGCAGCTTTACCTCTTCTTCTAGCTCCTTTGCTGTTTTCTCTAGGCGAGTATTGATAGATCTAAAGAATTAAAAAGGGTAAATAGAATTCTAATTTATGACAAAACCATAGTGAATGAATTTTAAATACTTATACATTACTTTGTACCTCTTTTTAAATAAAACGTTTAAACATAAATTTGAAAACACAGTTATCTGTCTACAATACGTACTTGCACTTCTGCTCGAGCTCCTCTTTGGCTTGTAGCTCACTGTTAAAGCGTTCTTCTAAGCTATACAGTTTTTTCTGAATCTGTCAAAAAACAAGAAATTACCAGTTCTGGTCATAATTAAAGACGAGACTCTTAAAGAAAATAATGCTAAGCTTCTATTTTTCTATGTAATGTGATTTCTTCTATGACAGTGTGGTATGTGTATTTGCTCCATGTGACTTTTACAGACAGAGAAAAACCACCCCTCTTGTTTTCTATCACAGAACGCATGACACATATCTGTCTGAACAAACTCACACAAACAGGGATGAGAAGCTCCTGCTTTGGCAGAATTCTTTTTTTTGGTACCGGGGATCGAACTCAGGACCTTGCGCTTTCGAGGCAGGCAGCAGAACCACTGAGCAAAATCCCCAGCCCAGCAGAATTCTTTTTTGACACCAAGTTTCAAACTCTGCTATAAAGAAAGGAAACCTCTTCCACTGCTTTTCTATAGATTGTATTTAAAAATATCACGACTACTGGTGCTCATGATATAAAAGGTTTACAGCTGAAGGAAATATTCAGAATATCCAACAGAACGTCCTAGAAACATATTACTGTTGTTAAAGAGGAGAATACAAGCTCCTTTGTATTGTTATACATTATTACTGGATACAGTACTCTGAAGAGAGCTGTGATTAATGACTGGTTTGGGGGAGGGGGTGAGACAGGGTCTTGCTATGTAGTCCAGGCTGGCCTAAATCTCATAGTGATCCTCCTGCCTCAGCCTCTCAAGGATTACAGACGTATGGCACCACACCTGCCAATGACTCTTGAGTAAATGATAGCCAATCAATTATAAGTCTTCCCTGTACTTTTCCCAGCTCTGCTAGTTCCTGAACAAATGCAAACTATATTGTTTCCTCTTTAAAAGGTTTAACTTTTTAAGTCCCTGTGGTGCCCTTTCAGACGCTTAGAGGTGAAGTCTCATTAATTCTAACAAAAGCCCAAAGAAGATGGTAGCACTGTAACCACTTGGTAAAGAAAGTGAAATTCAAACAAGGCAAATACCCAGGGGTCAGGAGAGGATAAACAAGTGGCGGTGCCAAAATCAACACAGGTCTTTAGAACCCCGTCTGTGGTTCTTTCCACTACTCTTCCTCATGATCATGCTTTCTGTGGTTTCTTACATATTTCCTATCTCCTAAGAAAACTCTGTTGTGCCATAATGTGGTAAAGAACATCCAGGCTAATGAATTAGTCAAGTTCCAACTGCATCTGGCTGCTACTGCATGCATCCTAGCACACCGGTTACTACACATTCATCAGAGGACCTTGCTGCGGGCATAAACCCTTGCTAAGTGGGAACCAGAGTCACAGGATACACATCTTAAAGAGTGGATTCATAGGAATAGTAACAAAAGGGATACTTAGTAGAAAAAGGCTGGAACTTCTCTCTCAGGTAGATGTAGCACTCCAAATGGAAGGTGAACTGTGACTACGTTAACACATTGCTACAGGGATGACTTTTTTCTGTTTTTCAACATATTTGATAACATACCTCTTGACTTTCCTATTAAAAAAGAAAAGAAAACATTAAAATGTTTGGTATGTATTTTAAAATTTTTTTATTTTAATGTAATACAAATAGATATTAATAAAAAAACATAAAACACTTCACACTTCTAAGAAAAAAATACAACAAAATTTCCTAACAAAGTAATTGGAGAATAACAATGGTTAATACACTGTGTGTATCATGATCTTTTTTGGTTTCTTGTTTTTTAAACCAGAATCTGAGCATTTCTTTTATTTATTTTGGGGGGGGGTTACCAGGGATCAAACTCAGGACCTTGCGCTTGTGAGGCAGGTGGTGGCAACACTGAGCTAAATCCCCAGCCCTCCTTTTTCTGTTGTTTATAAGAGTAGGAAAATTTACTGGAGAACAGGAACAGGTCCTGAGGGGCGGGGTGAGGTCCAAATGGTTGACCTATCATAATCTTTTTTTTTTGGTACCGGGGATCGAACTTGGGACCTTGCGCTTGCGTGGCAGGCGCCGGAACCAGAGCTAAATCCCCAGCCCGACCTATCATAATCTTAAAAGAGCTGGCAAAACATTGGTCAGAGTACAAGCCATAGACAAAAAAAAAAGATTCTTTCTTACAGAGAAGAAACAAAAAAATAAAAGGACAAAACTGTCTTTTCAATGAAAAGAAACTAGTAGTATATATAAATAAAGAGCAAAATAGAAGATAGATAGGAAGTAGGGAGAAGTTCAAATACTGTAAATCCCAAATTATCTATTCTGTTGTTTTAAAAATATTTTAAGATAAATGCTAATTTGTTATGCATTGGAACATTCCTAAAACATAAGCCATACCGAAATTATCCTAACTTTTATTTTCATAAGAAAAAAATGTCTAGCATTGTCGCATGCGCGCATGTGGGCAAGCATATGTGTGATTTAGCTTTGTATGTGGTTACAAATTGTAGCGGCCCCAAATACTTTTATAGTGTAAAATACTTGAACAGTGTGAAAAAATTATCCTTTATATGAATACATTCTAAATAGAAAATCAATTTTAATCTCTCCCCTACTTCTGTACCTTATAGCTTACTATCAGCATTCATTTTTTTTTCATGGTGACAAAGCTTCACATTTATTAAAGATAAGAAAAAACAAGAGTAGGGGAAAATGGGCTCTGCAGAGTAATAGTTTGGGAGGAAAAAATAAAAATACAGATACACCCGATAGTGTAGGGTGGGTAACCAGTAAGAGCCCCATTAGCCAGCTATCTATATTTTTCCAGAGCAGTAAGATCACAACAGTTTCAAGCTGGCACTAGAGCCATTTGGAAGCCAATTCTGCCCACACCTAGCGCCATGTGGGAGCCACCTCTCCACTGCACAATGCTTCCAGACAGCAGCAACAGCATCATGCTGGCGCACACTGCACCAGGCATGCAATCTGGTGATGTAAAAACCAGCATCCAATGAAAGCTTTCAAAAGGAGGATTACTAAGTATCTGAACATGAGACTAAAATAACTAGTGTAGCAAAAGTGTATACATACTTCATTTTTCCTTGATTGTACTGAGTCACTTTCTCTGCAAGGCGGAGAGTCGCTTAACAACCTAGAAGGAAAAAAAATAACATCCTTTGCATTTCGTTTTAATCCACTTGTCTTATTCAACCAAGTTATTCACTTTCTCTCTCTCCTTTGTTTTTGCTTTTGTTTTTGTTGTTTTTGAGACAGGGTCTGCCATGTAGTTCAGGGTGGCTTTGAACTCACTATGTAGCCCAGGCTGGCCTCAAACTTGTGGTGATCCTCCTGCCTCAGCCTCCTGAGTGCTGGGATTTCAGGTATGCACCAACACACTCGGCTTCAAGTTAGTCTCAGAATGATACACTGAACACAAAGATTTTCTTTTTACTTCAACATATTAGGATGAAGTAATACTTTTGCCTCTAGACATTCACACCATTCTCAGTATTTAAAATGCTAAACTTCCCTTGCCTCTCGTCAGATAACCTATTTTAACTTTGTTGGGACTGGAGTCTTTTCCGCAGACCTGTGCTTCCTCCTTCTTTACCTCACTTGCGCTTCTTTAACATTATATTCTTCACTATTCCATTGTCTAGAAGGCAACATCTCTCCTTTTTTTCAAAGATAACCCATAATTCTCCGGGTCTTAAGACAGAAATCACTGCTTTTGCTTTACTGTCAACTTCTCTCAGCTGGGTCCTTCCCCACTGCCTATAAACATCAAATAATGAAATAAAATTAAAAATAATTCACAGAGTCCTTTTGCATAAGCTCAGATTTTAAACAAAACTAATAATCTATAATTTGGTCTCAAAACAAGGCATCCTCCTATAAGCTACATTATGAAAACAAATAAAACTCAACGAGCAACATACAAATCGTCTCTATAGTAGGTAAATCCTATAAAGGGCAGCTGATTTCCCACAAAAGCTTTAGGAATTGGGAAGGTTTCGACATCTCCTTTATCATCCTCAATATCATCGAAGTTGCTGCTGTCTATGTCACTGCTGAGCTCAGGCACTACAGGAGCTGCCGCTGTCAAAAGAAGAGAAATAAAAATTGCTTCATTCCTAACTGAAACACAAGACACAAACAACCTCCATTTTGTGACGTATTATTAGTGACAATGCGATTATATCCTATTTTTATCATTTCAAAGAATTCAAATTTTATTACTATATTATGTCAGCTTTAAATATATATTAACCAGTTAAACAAGGAAAGATATATGATATTATTCTGGCTGCTAGAATTTACAAGAAAGAATAACATGCATATATATTCTTTATGGTCCTCAATTTTCTACACTCTTTAAGTAGCAGTATTTTTTACCCTTACAATGAATAAATGCGTCCTCTCAGTTCACACACTCTTTTCTCTCTCTCTCTATATATAGTAAAAATGAATTACTATGTTTTACCAGAGTATTACTGTATTTTCCATAAGTGATTGATTTATCAATTTAAATGCATTAAAATTAAAGGATTATATTTGACCCATTGTGAAAACTGAGATCCACAAAACTTCTCTTGAAAAATAAATAAATGTATTGTTTACTGTAAAAGAACTGGGAAATACTGTTGATACATACACATCAGCTCATTAATTATAAATATTGCTATAGAAAAAATGTGAAATAAAATTTCCCAATTTAAAAATGAGTTAGCATGAAGTATATCAAACATGCCTGTTGCATCAAAAAAGGAGTCAGTTTATGTGATTTGAAACATAATGGAATGGAAGTATTTGGATTTATTGACTTACTCTCTCTTATGTTATCCCAATTCCATTGATCATTCTTAAAGAAAGGATGCTGTTTGATTTCTTCTACCCCATTTCTCCCAAGGCGTACCTCCCTAAACAATGCAGTCAGAGATTGTATTATAAAAATAATGAAAAAAATAAAAATATTAGCTCAACAGTTAAACCAAAAAGAATCACAAGTAAATTTGAGATATTTTTATTAAAAGCTTCAGTTTAAATGTTTTTCAAAAGTAAACAATCCCAATTGTGTAGTGTGTGATCTCTGTGAATAGAGTAAAAAGACTGCAATATGCAGGGAGCACTGAGGAAAGTGAAGTATGTTTCCACCTGTAGTTTGAATCAGATGAATTGTGTCTGAGATTTTCCAGTAAGAAATTCCTGTGTACTCCAACCTGCAGGGCCCACCAACCTCAGGACAGCCCTAAGACAGGGCTAGCGCTGGCCACAGAGCTAATACGGTATTAAAATACCTCCCTTTCTTGAAAAGAATTCACACATTAAGTTTGGATCTGTTCCTATTTGCTTTGCTAAGCTCCCCCATATATATTGAGCATTACTCTGAATACCAGAAAAATGTTACTAACAATTCCATCCTTTCACCCTCTAAGTTTAATGAAGACCATTCTACACTGGAGAGGTAATGCTTGCCTAGCATAACTGAGCCCTTGGGTTCCATCCCAGCCACAAACAAAACAAACAAACAAAGAAACAAATCAAAACTATGCATTTGCTTAGGTGTGCTCCTAAACAGGAAAACCTGTGCCCTCCCGGCCACATTTACGGTAATACAGTGTTATCTGTTTTCCACCCATAATTCTGTAAATCTAACTCCTTAGATTGTACCTACTCCCAAAAGTGCTGAAACAAATCTTCCATGGATAATAACACTCTCTGCACCTTACTTACTGTGCAGAGCTGGGCATTAAATCTGGGCATTGCACATGCTAGGCAGGTGCTCCATTACTGATCTATACTCCCAATGCTTTTTATTTTATTTGAGACAGGGCCTAGCTAAGTTGCCCAGGCTGAGCTCGACTTTGAGATCTCCTGCCTCAGTCTCCCAAGCAGCTGGAATTACAGTCATGTACCACCACGCCTGGCTATCCCTATTTTATAATGCAATCCCCACCAACCCCACTTAGCCTCCAAATTATATATTCTACGGGTTATACTTCGATTTTATCACTATGGATCATTAATCATGTAATCAGTAAGTTTTAAAGTTTTACTCTACAAATAATTGATAAACATGATTTTCCTCTCTAATAAAATAAAGTAACTTTTGTTGCTTCCCTCCTGTAGACAAAATTTTTAAAAATTTATAATATTCAGTTTGAAGAGAGAAAACCAATTATTATCAACGGAAATATAAAGTGATGCAATTTCTTTGGAGGTCAGTTTTGCAAAGTAATTTAAGAATATGCATCCCCGAATTCTACTGAATACTGTCTGCTCCAAACGTGTGCAAGCTGAATATGAGGACAGTCACTGCGGCACCAAGAGCACTGTTGCCAAGCACCAAGGTGTGGCCTTAAGGGGCAGGGCCTCATGGAGGTGTCTAGTGTGGTCCACCACATGGAGGCCAGCAGATGGCTGCCCAGGATCACAGCACATGGATCGCAGGTTGGACGCCTTCTCGGACCTCTGGCCCTCACTCTGACGGCTTCAATCACAGTATCAACCAATGAACAAAAGAGAACCCAGCAGAAAGACCAAGGCAGGAACATGATCTAGCCTCCTAGCTTCTCTTTTTGGGCAGGTTTTCACATCTTTGCTTACCTATTTTGTTTTAAAAAATATAGTTTCCAGGACAGAGTTGTTCATATTAAATTGCAAATAAAAAAGAGTTGGAAGGATGGGCTCAGACGGCAAACATAGTTTTTATGATTATGAACTGTTATGTATCAGCACAAACTGTTCTTTCATAAGTTGTATAATCAAGAGAAATAAGGATTAACGACCTTAAGAGGGTAAATAATACATTTTATTTCTTTCAAACCCATTCTTTTACTGAGTTCTGATTTTCTTTTTAGACATGAGGATTATGATTAGAGTTGGATTACAAGTGGGCTGTGTACAGAAAAGGGTGAGGTAACCCAACATCAGCCTTAGCAGTAGAAAAAGCCAGCCCTGAAGAAAATGCAACTCAGACAAGAAGAGAGCCTGACTTCATATGTCCTCACAATGGCTTTCATTTTGACAAATTTCAGTGAAAGGGCTTCTTTACAAAGAAATTTAGCATGTGTTACCTTTCTGTTAAGAAGGCACAGATGAGATTCTTTGCATGTTTAGAAATTTCTGCATCTTCGGGGATAGATAGTGAATTTTTATGATCCATAATTTTGCTGTAAGTTCCTACAAGTGAATCTGCATAAAACGGAGTATCTCCTAAAATTCCAAGAAAATAAGACACTGAATGTAATAGAAAATGCAAATGCAATCCTTCCCATCTAACATTTGACTGTGTTATACTGGAATGGGTCACATGCACAGAGGACTTAGTGGCCTGTGAGCCAGGGGTCCCAGTTAAAACCAAGAAGCACAAGCAAAGAACGTATTTAAGCTTTAACCACACCAGTGATCCTTTAAAAACAGACTAAATGAATGCTAACTCTGGAATTTCTTTTTTAACAGACGATAAATGGTTTCTGAAGTAATTTAAGAGCAAGCTTCCTCAGTGGGGGTGAAGTGGAGGGTTCGGTCAGGATCCCGGATGCCTGAGCTAGATGGGCTCTTATGAGACTCCCGAGAGCTGTCACCCAGCCCAGCAGGTGCTAGCCCTGTGCAACATCTACAGTTACACCGGAACTGAACAACATGGAACACACTTGTTCGGCACACACACCAGCCGTGTCTCGAGGGTTCAGTGTGGTCCATGGTCACCATACTGGGCAGCACACATGTGGCTTGCTTCCATGTACCAGACTGACCAGAAGGGTCAGAGCATCTCTAGTGCTTCACACAGGTGGGGTGGGGCCCAGCACGGGCACAGGGGACCTGCTGAGGATGACAAACTCAGGTGTCTCCTGGGCAGGGGCAGTGTCCTCGCTGATAAGTGACTGATACAGAGGCACTGAAGTGCGCGTAAAGACAGAGAGAGCTAAAGGTGCTGGGGTGAAGGACCTGTCCCTGTGCCTGGACTCCAGGTAATGTTAGTGCCAACCAGGCCTCCCCAAAGCAGCCAATTCAAACTTCACATGGTACACTTGGAGTTACCTGTTATTTGAGGTGGGCACTGAATTCAAAATTTGTCCAGTGCTGTTTGGGCTAGTAACGTGATGGCGAACCTTTTAGCGCTTTCAATGATACCAACGGTCTGCTGTGGCACGCGTGCCAGGTTCACCAACACTGGTCTAGTGCAATGGAACCCTTTAGAGGAAGTCCAGTGCCCAGCAACCTAAGCAAGCACCTCAGTGGGCTCAGCCATTCTGCTGATTCCACTCTCAGACTTGAGCACAGCAGTGGGAATTTAAACAGCACCCTTACATCAGCCCCATCACTTCCTCCAAAGTACCCGATTTTCTAACTCCCTGGAAGGAGAGGCCATGCACGTAAGAAAAGCCACCCTACTTTCAAAAGATTACTAGATACCTCCCGAGGCAAAACCAGGACACACGTGATGTGTGCAGTTCTAGGGACCGCTTGGTGTGTGGAGACTCACAGACAGAGGCCCAACTCTCTGTAATTGACACTGTGACATGAGCCTGGGCTCGAGGGCAGGGCTAGGCTATGTGCACTGTGCTGTCACCGAGACGGGGCAACTTGGGGCACAGAGACATTCTACGGTACTCATTATTTAAATGTGGGATTTACTAGCAATTCCTGATTCTTTATCAATAGCCATACTCTGTTATCAGACAAATTTTACACTTTCTTTAGGGTCAGTTTCTAGGAAGTAAATTCTGTAACGCCAAAAATACATCAGCTCTAACGCCACTGCACATGTCAGCAGTCTCGCCACACTTGCCCTGGGAAGCATCTTCGGCTGCATGGCCCCACCTCAGCCGGACAATTCAGTCCCTGGCTTCTTTACCTAGAAGATATTTTTGTGACACAGATATTTTTCAGTGACTCTAGTATTTTAGGGATGTGAAATCTTGGGAATGAAACATGATATAAAGAAAAGTTTTGAAATTTTAAATATTGATTTGGTTAAATTTTAAAAATTATTAAATTTGCCTGAGTTTTCTGAAACTGAAATAAAAGTATATTTATCTTGATAATCAAATGGTCAACCATTATATTTGTGATTCATTTGATTGGAATTACATAAGCCCAAAATATATGCAGGCAGTAGAAGAGTTTACAAAATCAATTACCTAACAAAACTACATACACTGAAGAAAATTTAGTTAATTACCTGTTACTACTGGAACAGATGTTAACACTCTTACATGTAAAAATGTGTAAGAAATATAACAATCAAGAAAATCTTAGAATGGAGGCCCATGAAATTGTAAACCTGCTCTTGTTAGTATTTCCTTAACTCAAAAGATCTGCTGAGGGGAACAGTTCCTACTTTTCACATTCTACTCAATCACTGCCACATTAATGTCACCAATACTGGTTCAAAGTTTCCAAAAATTCCAGTTTTTCCCTTGGACCCAGGCAATTTCTTTATATTCTCAAATTCTTGACTGAACTGTTAGGAAAAGGGTTTTGAAAAAAGAATGAGTTAAAATCTTCACTTACCCACTAGCATTTCAAAAAGGAAAACCCCGACAGACCACCAGTCACACTCTCTCCCGTAATAACCGTCGCCCCCTTGCGATTTCAGAACCTCTGGTGATATGTAGTCTGGGGTTCCGACCGCTGTGTCACAGTGCACCATGCCTGTCTGGGGAAACAGCAGAGAGCGAGTGGTGTGGGTCAGTGAGGAAACACACACGTCGACACAACTCATCACCGACTGTCAGGAGCGTGGCGACTGCTCCTGCTACCAACAGAGCCGCATTGCTGCCGCGGTAAAGGGTTCAGGTGAACATGGTGTGAAACACATCAAAATGCATGATTGTGGGGATGAGGAGCAAGTTTTCTCTCTAAAACACAGGAGGCTTCATCAATAGAGGAAGGAAAAGGTGGTAATCTCTGGGGAGACTATGCAAATCAACAACTGTTAAGGTTCTGTCCTTATTTCCTACTTCATAATGCAGTTATAAGAGAAGTATAAAACATGGTCCCAAAGTGCCTACCCTGGGGAGAGGAAAAGAATAGGTTAGAGAAAAGAAGCCTTGCAGGTTGCCAAAGAAACTAAAGCAATTAAGAGAACTGATGGTCTGGAGGTTGTATAAATAAATGGTTATTTTATTCAGAGAAACAATTGAAATAGATTAACACTGAAATTGAAAGATCTTAAAAATTTGAAATTTACACTTCTAAGTGACATATTTAGAAACACAGAGATGTGGTGTCAATGTATTTGGCCAAATGATAAAACCCCCTAATCTGGCAGACTTCTGGTCATGGCCAGCGAACCCCGGAAGGGGAGGCAGAATTAGAAGATCATGTGATGTTGGTGTAGGAAGATTTATCGTGGTGACTTTAGGATGTTGGTTCCATTGCAGGTATAATTATGCAAAGGAAAGAATCCAGCAAAGAACTGCCAGAGAAGAAATAAAAAAGATTTTATATGAAAGCACCCACCTTGATCCTGAAAGAAAACAAACCAACCAACAGCAGCAACTGAGCAACTTGAACACGGAAAACAAAACTCTTGAAGTAGGTGTGAACAACGTTGGGGTCAACTACACAGGGCATTTTATACATACAAATAAAGTATGTTTAAACCATAAAACAACAACAACAAAAAACCCCTAATCTGCGTTTATGGCTGGTGGGTAACAAATCATTGCAACCTGCTGTCTTTCCAACAAGGACAGAACCTCGAGGGCTGGGTGTGCTGCCAAGGGACATCACTGCTGTGCGGAGCTGAATAACGTCCTTCACCCAAGCTCCGCCCACCCGGCAAGGGTCCGGCAGATGAGCCGAAACAGCCTTCGTCGCTTCCTGCCCAACAGAGACCGTGTCCCCCACACTTCTCATAAGGAAGCTATTAAAAATGATAAATCACTAAGTATTGTTCCCTTGGGAAAAGGAAGTCCAACTGGTTCTATAAACATGATTTATGGAAGTGCGTTTATTTACGTGCTATAAAAACATCTTAAGCGTGGGAAGTTAATTTAAAAAACAATTTTTTTTCCTTCTCAAATTGACAGAAAAGACTCCATAACCTTATTTTCCCGAAGTAATTTTAGTGTGGAGATAAATTAAGAAATCTTATGGAAACTGAGCAAACCATGGGAGTAATACTTTGTGTGTACTGCTATGCAACAGAGAACAAGGACAGAAGAAAACAAGATAGTGCCTGACTTCAAACAGCGGGACAGACTTTCTCTTTGGTGGTGCTGGGGACTGAAGGCTGTGCCCTGGCACAGTGGGCAGCACTCCCCCTGAAGAGGGCGGCCTCAGCCACCCAGGGATGGTCCAATATTTCACACTTCTATGGGGGAACAGGGCAATCAGCGTGACGAAACTCTTAATCTCACCTGAACCCACAGAAACTAGATTTTGATAAAACATGAATCTTTTTCTTTTTTTTGGTACCTGGGATCAAACTCGGGACCTTGCGCTTTTGAGGCAGGCGGTGGAACCACTGAGCTAAATCCCCAGCCCAATAAAACATTAATCTTGTGAAGACTTCAGAGATAATCTCTTATTGCACGCAGGGGCACGCACACATACACACACACACATACACAAATAAAACCAAACAAAAATTTATTTAACATTCAAGGTTCTGAGGAAGGAATGGGCAAGATGAAAGAAAGAACCCTTTTTTGGACTGCAGCATCAGAGCATGTCCGTGGACACCAGCCTCGGAGATGCATCTGTTGAGTTCCCCTTCATTTGTCCTTGGAACTAATAAAGGCTGCTGGTGCCAGAAAGAGGGGAGCAGACAGGCTGACAGGGAGAGAAGGAAGGAAGGGAGGAAAGGAGGAAGGGAGGGAGGAGAGAGACAGAGACCACACATAAAATTAAGGCTGTGAAGAACGGACAAGTTAAAGCAGTGAGGGCACTGACAGCTTAAATGGAAAAAAATAAAGAGCATAGAAAAAGGAACGAGAATGACCTGACCTAAATGTGGTGAAGTCCAAGTCAACTAAAGGTAAAGTTTCATATGATGAAGGTTAGAAGGATAAGCTGGGTATCAATTTCATCAGTTTTGGTAAGACAAAAGATGTTTTAGTAAGTAAACTATAAGGAAACTACAGTGGTCTCCTTTGGAAAATTAATGTTCAACCCATTAGTTTTGACTACCATATTCAGGCTTTCAAAGATTAACATTGAAAACAATATTTAAGATGTCTAAAAACCTCGTGAGGAAGCTCTCAAATTATATGGATCTACAATCTACAATGTATGACAAGTCTCTGATCTGTTGAAAAGAAATACAGGAAGGATAAGTCAGAAACTACAGACTGACTGATGTACAGGGAGCAGGCAGGAAGTGGTGGGCAGAGGGGGACATGAGAATGGGCGGCAGGGACCCTGCTCTGGGCAGACACTCTGTAGAGCTCTAATTCTTAAAACTAGAGGAACTAGAGCCGGGGATTTATCTCAGTGGCACTGCGCCTGCCTTGCAAGCGCAAGGGCCCCAGTTTGATCCCTGGTACCAAAAAATAAAAAAACTAGAGGAAGCTTTCAACATAAAAAAAAGAAAGAAGTGACTGGACACCCCCCCGCCCTGCTCCTCTGTACAGCCACCTGGTTCCACACTACAAAGACACAGAGGACATCAGACCACCAGACAACGGTACTGAGTCCCGCTGCTCCCGGCCCAGAGGTAGGGGCTAGTGAGCCGCCATCCCACTGCTCCTGGTCCAGAGGAAGAGGCTTCCCGGCCACCGTCCCTCCCGCTGCTCCCAGCTCAGAGGAAAGGGCTTTTGGGCCACCATCCCTACCGCTGCTCCTGGCCCAGAGGAAGGGACTTCCAGGCCACCATCCCTCCCACCACTCCCGGCCCAGAGGTAGGGGCTTCTGAGCCGCCATCCCACTGCTCCTGGACCAGAGGAAAAGGCTTCCTGGCCACCATCCTTCCCGCTGCTCCCAGCCCACAGGAAAGGGCTTTTAGGCCACCATCCCTACCGCTGCTCCCGGCCCCTGTCCCACCTCTCCCAGCTCAGAGGAGGTAATCCGTGCAGGCACCAACAGCAACCCCCCCCAGTCGAAATGAGAAAACATGTAAATAAGTCTCAAAACCAGACT